AACCTGTTGGAACAGCCGGCCCTACAGACCAGACCTCTCTCTCTGGGATTGCGTGCCAAAGAATAATATAATGGTAGGAGGGGAATGCCACTTGAAACCAGAAATTCTGACAGCACTCATGAATTCTATATAACTTTTAAGAGTCAACAATTATTTCATTGCAATGGAAATTTTCAGATCACTTCGGTCATTTTTTAGAATTTATGCATAAGAATGGAATTTTAAGCCAATAAGCACCCTGAGATCTAGGCAATGGAACTGAATAGTTGTGGGAGATCCCACTGCATTCTATAAAAGCAGAAACATTTCATCATTGAAGTTTATTGATGTCATATACATAGCATAGGTATGTATGTATGTACTTCTATTTTATCTAGGGCAGGCGATTATAAAAGTAGAAGTTCTAAGAACGTGCTTAAGCACGAGTAAACAGAGAATCCACCCAGCCTACATCACATTCTTTTGTGATTATTTGTTTCTCTATTTGTATTTCTAGTTCCAAGTAAACAGTTTTCGGGTGAGTTGTATGATACGAATCAAAATTGATAAAAGTGTGAGACACAGCAGTACAAGAAACCGAGAACTCCATTAGTAGTATTTCCCACAATAGGAGTTTCAGTCACCCCCTGTCCGTAGGGGCTAGGCCTATTTCTAGAGGAAAAAGAAAACCAAACGCTTGACAAAGTTTTTCTGTGGAGACATCAGTCATCCGATGGAAATCTTAAGAGATCTTTTGAGCTGTGTATACTATATATTTATGTGTATATATCATTTTCATGTGTGCTTACCGCATTCTCCTCCGAGTACAGGCCGCAAACGAGTTCTCGAAATGACATTTTTGCATTGAGCTGGTTTTTGTTTTGTTTTTGTTGTTTTTATATTGCTTAAACAATTGAACTTGCAATTTGTACACCTTTTTTTTGTCTTATTTGTTTTTTTTATAATTTATATACTTTTATTTTCGAAGCCATTTATTGTATGACGCTGACGCTGTTCTGTTCTGCGGGGGCTCCTTGAACTTGCACTGAACTTTTTATGGAACAACTTTTCGTGTGTGGTGTGTGTGTAAATTTATTTATTTTTAATTGTAAAAATATATAAAATAAATAATCGAATAATCATCGAAATTGTAAACCGGCCGACACAGCGGGGGGCACAGCGAAAGTGAAAATGAAAATGAGGCAGAAAAATCGCGTGTTGTCAAATCAGAAATCAAACTAAAATTACGAATAAAACAGACACACACACTTACACATATACACACTGTACAGTACACCCCACGTAAGCGCTATCTGCCGGAGCGGGAGAGAGTGGGAGAGGGAGAGAGGTGTTTGTGTGTGTGTGTGTTTGTGCAGGCGAAACGAAAAGGTCAGCACCATACATCGAGGCCGTTAATTGCTTTAGATTGAATTAAGCTCGACGTTCCGTCCCATTTCATATCATTCCCTATCCCATCCCATCCCATCCCATCCCAGTTCATTCTCCTCTCTCTCTCTCTATCTCTCTGTCGTGACCTACGCGCGCCTCTGACGTCATCGGGAGCACAATTTATTTTTAGCAAAAAAAAAACAACAACAGTCGTACGCGATTTCCGCTCTTATCACACATCGAATTATGACGCGTTGCTCCCTCACCATACGATAAGGGCAAACAATCGAAGCGAAGTCACAGCCAGAGCTCCAATCCGATCCGATCCGAACCGGCTAGAACGTTGTTACAGTAAATGGGCTATAAATCCGTAATTGTTGGCTATTGATATTGGATCTTGGACAATGGGAGCGCTCTGCCCATTGCAGCCATTGGCAAAGCGGTCACTGCGACTACTGGAGACCCGGCAGACACTATGAAACCACTGACAAAGGAAATAAAATATTACTCTGGCACTAACGCCACAACCGACTCTGGGACGCGGGACGTGATTCTGATTGTACGAGTAGTACTCGTATGGGTGTGTTTCTCTGTGTGTGGGTATGGGTATGGGAGAGTTCTGGCCGCTTATCTTTGTGGGCCCAGAGAGTGGAGCGGAGCGATAAGCTTCGGCAGAGGAGGGGGAAGAAGCTCTCAGGTAACAGTTAGCGGAGCGCAAGCGTCCAGGTAAACATATTTTTGGTGCTGCTCCCCACAGGAACGACTCTGAGAGATACGAGGGTGAGAACAGCGGCCCAAAAAGGGGGCACATTTTAAATTATAAATCTACGAGTATATAGCGGTTCTTGAACCACTTCTGACAAGTAATATTCATGAAAATATTTAAACTTTTGTTCCCTCGAACTCCACGAGTATATAGAACCAACCGTAGGGTTGACAAACAAACGAAAGATAGGTCCAGTGCAATGATTTTTCATAATCAACTAGATAAGATCCATAATATATGTTTCATTGTTGCATTAACAGTTTAAAGTTTTTTTAAGAGTGGAAAAGATTTAAAAGTTTTAGGGTCTCCATATATCTCCCCCAATGAGTTCAATTGGAGTTCAATATTCCATTTCCGCTTACAGATTGGGAAGGGGGCTACAGTTGTAATAAGTAGAACCCAATGTGATAAAAACATAAAGCAAAACTGCTCGACTCACCCCCAGATCTGGTTCACTGTTGGTAGCTTCTAGTAGGCATTGTGTGGATGAGGATGCGGACAAACTCTGCCGATCCTTGGGGGTTTTGTGTAGATTCTGCAGGCTGGCCCAGGTGTCCATCGGTGGCTCGATGCAGGCCACGCTGGCCGACGACTGAATGTTGTCAATGGCCTCGAAGCCCAGCGAGTGTCGGGAGCCGGGCTGGCCAAAGACCTGGACACTCAGCTTGTGCGGGGTTGCGGGTGCGGGGTCCAGGGCCAGCGAGCGGCGTGGCTTGCGCGGCACACAGGAGGGATGGACAAACATGTGGGGCTGCTCGTCCAACGATGGGGCTGTGGAGTGCAGGGATATGTCATCCATGGAGGCAACACCAGCCAGGGCACGCGGCGAGTCTTCCACAAACAGATTGAGGACATCGTCACAGGATCGTGTGGCTGTGAGATTTGTGGCCGGGCTCTTGATCAGGTTGAAGCTGGCCAAGAGATTGGGACGACGCAGCGAGGCACTGTCCGAGGGTGACATTTGATGCGCAGCCGGGTCGGGCATGGCCCGGACGGTCAAACGATTGTCGGCCATCCCCACAATTCCCTGCGGTCGGGCTGGGGCCGGATGCGATGGTGCTGCCGGCGGATGCACTGCGGCCGCTGCTCCAGCCCCAAGGAAATCCACGACCAGAATGCGATCGGAAATGTTGGTGCAGTCGTTGTTGAAGCCAATGCCCGAGTCCGAGTTGGAGGTGGTCGTGGAAATCTCACTGTGGTTCGACGGCTGCGGGGAGTGGGCGGCGGCACCGGCGACCGCAGCGCCGGCAGCTGCCTCATACTCTGGCTGATGGCTGCGACTGGCCGGTGGCAAGATGCGCATGGTGTACATGCTCCGGATGAGATTCACGACGTACTCCGAGTTGTTGGGGAACTCCAGGCACAGATTCGATATGGGATCCCTGGTGCACTGCAGCCGAAACTCGTGCGCTCGCTGCAGATGCTGGCCGTGATCAATCAGCTTTGTGTCGATCACAAACACATGGCAGCTGTGCGAGATGCTGATGTGTTGGCCGCCGCTGCCTGCATTCGGCTCGTACTCCTCCTCTATTTGGGTGTTGTGCACGGCGCTGGTGACCAGGCCAAAGAAACGATTCTCGCTCTCCGACGAGGAGCTCACGTAGTTCAGCCGCGACGAGGCATAGGTGGCCAGCACTCCCCCGTTGGCGCTCTGCAGCGTAAGGCTGTCCGGGGTGATGCACATGAGCACTATGGTGGGCTGACGCTTCTCCTGCCGCAGCTTCCGTATGCAGGAGCGCACCGTCTGCAGCTTGGAGCTGTGCGAGATCTGCTTGGGCATTTCGATGGTGCCCAAATAGCCCACAATCACGCGATACTCCAGCGCCGCACTGCCCACGGCCCGCACCATGGCACTCACGTTGGCCACATCCGCCGATTTTCCAGCGAGATTCGCCAGCGGAGCATCCTCCAGAACGGGCCGCAGCGTTGAGTGATCTGTGGGCGGTGACGGCTTCGGCTTTGGCTTTGGTTCCCCCGCATCCGGCGGAAGCTTCTTCTGTGGCGAATTGCGCAGTCGATGCATCTTCGATTTGTGATGCAGGAAGCGCGGCTTGTGGCGCAAACTGGCGGCCAGCAGCTGGCCCCTGGCACTGCGCTGCATTTGCAGCGTGGCATTGGCGTTCTCCTCGTCCGAGCTGTCCGAATAGTAGTTCTCGGCTATCTGCATGCGTATGCTGCCGAAGGAGTTGCCGATCAACTGGACCACCGTCTCGTGCGGCAGCTTGGAGACGTTCAGTCCGTTGACCGAGATGAGGAAGTCGCCGGATCGGAGGCCGGCCTGCTCGGCGGGCGAGCTGCTGATGATGCACGACAGACGACATGGCTGCTGTCCCGATATGGTGAATCCGAAGCCATTGTAGCCCCGTCGCACCTCCACGGTGCGGGTTCCATTGTAGTTGTAATTGGGACGCTTTTTGCGCCGCCGCTGCTGCTGTTGCTGCTGCTGGACGTTCGAGGTGGATGCCGCCGCGGTCGAGCCAGATGCCACGGCTGGCGATGCTGATGGATTGCCAGTCGCTGGCGCTGCCACTGCTGCCACAGTTGCAGTGCCCGTTATGGGCAATGGCGGATGGTGGTGATGCATTGCGGGTCACTGAAAAACGGTAACAAAGTGGTGGATCGTGGCACACATCTTCATTGCTGCTCCAGTCTCTTAACGCACCTTTTTCATTGATGCTGGTTTCGTCGTGTCCGCTCTCTGGAATGCGGTTTGTTGCTGCCCCTTTTTGGTAATAGCAGATGTGCGCTCTCACTCGCTCTCCTGCGCTCGCGCTATGTAATCAAATAGCAGCAACAACTACAATACATACACGGAGGAAGTGGCAGGCCAGGCGAATCTTGTTACACTTTTTCCAAGGATTAACTGCTCGGTTAAATGCCCAGACATTAGCATTATCATATTTTCACACTGTTAATAAATGCTGGCTGGCATTATCGAGCGTTTTTAAGACCATTTAGTTGGATAAAAACAATTTTGAAAGACGCCGTAACGCGCAAGCGTAGCGCATATAAAATTAGGTATGACAAAGTTAACGATATTAGTGTCAATCGAAATCGATATATGAGCAACATCTGGTCCAATCGCTCATCGCTATTGGTCAGCAGTGCTGCAAAACACCACAAATACATGTCAAGACTTGTCCGCTGCGTTGTTGTGAAATCATTTGAAAAAATTGTTATTGGACTTTATTTTACCATTCGCATTCGTTAAAAAAATGGCTTCTCCCAACCAAAATGAACTCCCGAATATCGATGCCATTGTGGACAAAACTGCAGAGGCCAAGCCATCAAGTACAGAGCAGGAGACTGCGAAAAGGAAGCTGTCGACAGAAGGCGCCAAAGATGACGATGAAACTGACAATGAAGGAAGCCCAAGGAAGCGCATAAAGTCCGAGGACGACACAAAAGTCAAAGATGAGCCCAGCGATGATGAGGAAATGCCTATGCCTGTACCTTTAAAAACAGAGCCCGAGCCCAGCGCGCCTAACGCTGTCAAGATAAAAGCCGAGCCAGTGGACGGGGATGATGGAGTGCCAGCAGCTGCCAGTACAAGTGGCTGTCCTGTAACAGTAGCACCTGCAGATAGTGGAAACACCCCCGCAGCGGTAGTGGTAAAAACGGAGCCTGACACCAGCAACGGGCAATCGACAAATGATGCACCAGTTGTGTCCTCCAGCACCACTCGCATTTCATGCCGTTTCGGCATTCGCTGTTACAGGTAAACAATTCGAAAACATTTAAAATGGATTAAAAATAAAGCAGTTTCCCTTCCTTCACTCGTAGACGTAATCCAGCGCATCGCAATGCTGAAGCTCATCCGGGAGATACGGACTATACGCGGCCCAACTTTCCGACACCACCGCTCGGTACACCGCCCTGTCCCTTTGGAAACTTATGCTACCGTCGCAATCCAGTGCACTTTCAGCAGCTGGCACATCCTCCAGATTGTAAGTCAAAAGCAGAATTAAAGTAAGATTCAGCGGAATTAAAGCGCAGCCTAGTTAATTCCGCTCAGAACATACGGAATCGTTTGCGTCAACGCCAGACACAGGTGCGGCAGGCGGGAACGACCGGCGATAGCGACGAAGAAGATGAGGATGATCCATTCGGAGGAGATAATGACGATGATCTCGAATATAAGCCAGGCGCAGACCAAGACGTAGATGATGACGACGAGGAGGATGAGCTGGAGTTTGATAGCCAGCGCATCAATGATGACGTTTACGATTAGGAGGGCCTGGGTCTGGCCTAATTAATGTATTGATAGCTGTACATACAAAATGTTATAGTACATTATAGCGCTTAGCCGTTGGATAATAATAATGTTAACTCTATAGATTAAATTGATTACATTAGTAGAAGCCCTCGTCGACATCCTCAGCAGGTTTTTGGTCGAAATTTGAGCCCCAAACGGCTGCCTCGCCGCCACGCACTTTTACATTGTAGCAGACATTTTCTGCCTTGAGGACGCTCTGTCGCATGGTGGTGATCTTGCGCCACAACTCCCGAGCACGCTGCAAGTTCAAGCTGATGTAGCTGAGAAAAAATGAAACATAGTTTTAAATTTAAATTCCTGTTTAGGGCCTGGCTTGTGCCTTGCATACCCTGTGTAAAACATCTGCAAGGTGCTGCAGGTCTCCATACAGGTATCCGTATCACCACTGCCCAGAGAATTGATGCATCGCCGCATCAGTTCACCGGTTAGATCGGATAATCCCAGCACATACTCTGTGGGATCGATGAAGAACTGAAACTTCTTGGCCTGCTCCTCGGCTTCAGCAGCGTCAGTCTCTTCGACCGATGCTCCCTCGTCCTTGGCTTTGCTGGGATCCTCCACGTATTGCATCACCGACTGCAAGGCCTGCCAGTCAGACACACTCTTGGGCGTCTCGTCGCTGTCCTCGCGGGACAGATACTCCATGTAGGTGTATGCCTCGATAAACTCCTGCAGGCCAGCGGAGTACGCATTGCGGAACTGGTACACATCCTGGTCGCGCAGTTCCAACGCAATGGCCCGAAAGTTGACCTCAATCAGTTTTTGCAGACGCTGCTGGGCCTCATCCAAAATCTTCTCCTTGTTCTGCTTGCGCGAATCAATCGAATGCAATGTAAATATGATGCGCTTGGATTCGATGGTAATGTCGCGGCTCAGCTTCACAATTCTCTCGTGTCGGTCTTGTTTCATGGTTAATTCACTCGAATAATTTCGGAATGCCTGGACTATGGGATTGTCTTCATCCACGGCGACCTGGGGCTGTCGCTTCTTATGCGCGTTGCTGCGTTGATTACCACCTCCACCTCCATGTTTTGACATAGTTTCAGGATAAAAATTTGGAAAACCGGCGAAACTTCTGAAGAAAATCACATAAATAATGCTAGCGACGGACTCGAAGCGATTGATTTTCCATCGGGTGCGGGCCATCTCCAAAAACCAGGGCTGCACTGGTCGTATGTTCGTGGCAATAAAAAATTACAATTTATTTAATTTAAGACAAACAATATGATTGAGCCGGCCCAAAAGTCCTTTCACCTGGCCACCACAGCCAGCAGCACCGCAGAGAAACTTTGCTTCGACAAAACTGAGTTCATGAAGGTGTGTTATTGCCATTTGAAGTGGGCTCTTCCTCAAACTAGTAAAATTCTTCTTTCGAGCAGGAAAATTTCTCGGTGGACGAATTCCTGCACAAGAATCGCAATGCTCCCAGCTTGGAGCAGCTGCGGGACAACCTGGGTCTGTATTTGAAAGGACTGCGAGCAGCCATGATCGATCTAATCAACGAGGACTACGCTGACTTTGTGAATCTGAGTGCGAATTTGGTGGGACTTGACCAATCCATCGAGACGATTCAGCGGCCCCTGGAACAGTTTCGCAGCGACATCGAGAGCATTCACAGTCTGATTGACGAGAATGTGACGGAGCTGAGGGCCCAGCTTGAGGAGAAGCGGAAGTTGCGTGAGGCCAAACGAAGTCTGCAGAGCCTGAAGAAGGTTTATGAGACGACCGGCAAGCTGCAGGACCTAATCACCCGCAAACTGGATGGCGATCAGCCCGCACAGGCTGTTGATCTGGAACGCGCTGCCCTCGATCTTATACAGCTGAAGTTTAACGAGAAACATTGTTCCAACCACCTCAATGCGGAGCAACAGACGAAAATCCAGCAATTGGAGAAGCAACTGCATCGCCATTTGCGTCGCTTCTTCAACGAGGCACTGGGACAGGCACGAAACTCGGCCCCGGAGCATCTGGAGCGTTGCCTGCGCATCTACATAACCCTCAATGCCTGTGCACAGGCAGAGTGCGTCTTTCGCGAGGATGTCGTGGCGCCGTACATGAACGGAATCATCGGCGAGCAGCAGCTGCAGAACTCGCCCCAGGGTCTGGCTGGCATCTACAGCAAAATTCTGAACTTTATATCGCTGCACATGACCGACTTGCTGCGCCTCACCCTCTACTCGGACAAGCTGGCGGGCTTCAATTTTGTGGTGAACAGCTATTGGTCGGACGTGGAGCAGAGACTGGAGATGCACATGAACTCTATATTCGCTCCGGGTAATTCCGAAGTGTTTTACATAAAATACAAGTGCACCCGCGATTTCCTGGGCAAAATAGAGGAGCTGCTGACCAGCAGCGGCGAGCAGGCGGTAGCCAGCTATCGCCAGCACAAGCAAACAAAGAGCTTCGAGGCGCGTTGGAATCTGCCCGTGTACTTTCAAATATGCTTTCAGGTATGCCTCAGCTTGAATGCCTGTACATTTGTGGATTTAATTATCCTCTCATTCCATAGGAAATTGCTGGGCAATTCGAAGCCAAATTGGAGCCCGTTCTGCAGGATTCCACACTGAATACAAAGCCCAATGCCAATGCCTACCAATTGTCGCCATTCAATGCCGCCAAGGCGGCTGTGACGCGCTGCTGGGCCGAAGGCGTCTACCTGCCCGAAGTGTTTCCCAAATTCTACAAACTGAACGTACAGATAATATTGCGGCTCTCTCGCTGGGTTACCGATGCCATTGCTGTCTCGAAGGCCAGCAGCTTTGCCAAGTCCTACACTCGCCCTCAGTTGCTGATTGCCCTGCACGCGGACATCCGCAAATTGGATGCCTATTTGCCCGAACTGCAGCAGCTTATTGTGCAGTCCGTGCCCCTGCAGCAGCGCACAAAGTTGTTCAGCGATGTGCTGGGCCAATCCATTGGCTCCCTGGCCGATACGCTGGGCGCGCATCTGTCCAGCATACAGAAGACTTTGGTGGAGCTGTTGATCGGCGAATGCGAGACGGAGAATGTGCGCCAGGTGAATGATTTGCCGCGTTTGTATCGCAAGACCAATCGAGAGGTTCCCTCGCGCTGCTCAGGCTATGTGGAGCAGATGCTGCGCCCCCTGAAGGCCTTTGCCACACAACACGAATCCCAGTTGGGAGCTCTGGTGGTGGAGCAGATTCTCTCAGAGGTAGCCAGCCACATCACGAAAGCGTAAGTTGTGAAGAAACTCCACGAAAAACCATTAATTTGCATAACCACCTTTTTTAGGTACTTTAATGTCGTGAGCGATGTCCTTACATCTGTGCAGAAAACTGAAGAATCCTTGCGACGTCTGCGGAATGTCAAGAGCGGTGGTTCTGCAACGCAGGCGGCTGCTGGCAGCTCCGCTGTGATGTCGGACGATGATAAGATACGTCTGCAGTTGCGTGTGGATGTCACCACCTGGAGGCAGGAGCTCTCCAAATTGAATTTCCAGCCCACGCAGATTGATCAACTTCCGCAGCTCACAGATATGGTGGAGGATAGCATAAAGCTAAGGGAGGGACAGGCGTAAACATATACATATATACTCCACTTTATTCTTGCTAAACGATTTCGAATGGTTCTTTAGGCACAATTGGTGTTTCATTTTCAGTTAAGACTACGAATTGTATATAATATGTAGGTATGTATAGGTATATAAACATATATGTATATCATATATAGTATTAAATGCATTAAATTTCACGTTTCGTTTCGTTACGTTCAGTTAGTTGTGTAAATACAGGCGAATATTTCCCCTTCCAGTTGATTATTTGCTGTTGGAATGAGACAGAGAAAAGAAACAGAGATTGCAGAATAAACCATCTAGTTGAGCTGCCAAAAAGTGGCTGCATAAAACCTGAACTTGGTTAACGAAAATATTGCAAAAAAACGGCAGGCAAATAGGTGCAATGGAATGGTATGCATGCCATGCATGCGCTCAGGCACTGCGTTTAAGTAAATGTGCATTAATAAGTTGAGCGGCGCACAAAAAAAGGAAGAAAAACAGAACAGGCGGATTAACAGGCTCAGAAAACAAAAACAAAAAGATAAAGGTTCAAAGGCAACCACGGGGGCGACCTGGCTACATTACAGTTTGAGCTCCTCGGTGTCGGGCAGCTTGCGGAAGAACCATTGCACATGCTCGTCGGTAACCTCCGACAGCTGTGCCGGCTGCCACTTGGGCTGCTGATCCTTGTCGATGAGCAGAGCGCGCACGCCCTCCTTGAAGTCGGCACGATCCTCCAGATGGCGTACGGCCAGCCGATACTCCATAATCAGGCACTGGGTGAGCGAGAGCTGGGAGCCGAGCTCCAGCTGGCGATACGTGACTTTCAGCGATGTGGGGGACATCTTGCACAGGGTCTAAAATGGAAATAGAAAATCGATCGTTAATCAAGTGCTAATTTATGTGAGGTCGTTGCTAATTGGCTGAGAACACTCGTAATTTAAATATTTATGCGCTAAAAGCGGGACGGAAGGTTCGATTTTCCCATCTAATTAACAGGTGGCTGGGTACTTACCCCCAGCGTCTTTTTGGCCCAATCGCTGCCATCGTTTTGCAGATTCTCGAGTATGCCCTCCACCGAATCCGCCGCAAAGTTCTTGTTGATCTGCTCCAGCACTGGCTGCAGCGAAAAGGGTTTCTCCGGCTGCGTGTGGAACTTTTCCAGCAGCTCTGGGACATCATCCGCATCGGGGCAGTTGAGCAGCGCCGTCTCCAGTTCGGGAATCTTGCTGCTGTCGCAATAGTGGGTGGCAATGCCCGCGTAAAAGGCGTCTGCACCGCGTAGGCGATAGCCCGTGAGTCCCAGGTACAATCCGAGTTTGCCCTGCAGGCGGGGCAGAAAGTAGGAGCCGCCGACATCGGGGAACAGGCCAATGGCCGTCTCGGGCATGGCAAACATTGTCCGGTCTGTGGCCACACGATACTTTCCATGGACACTCAGACCCACGCCACCGCCCATGGTGATGCCGTCGATGATGGCGATGTAGGGTATCTTGTAGTTGCCGATCAGGGCATTCGTGGTGTACTCCTCCCTGAAGAAGCTCTTCGACTCGTCCGTGGGCCCAGCCTCGACCAGGGCACGCACATCGCCACCCGCACAGAAGGCCTTGTCGCCGGTGCCTTTGATGATCAGCAGGGACTTGGACTTTTCACACTTTTTCAGATGCTTGTAGATCTTGCGCACCATCTCCAGATTGATTGCATTCAAGGCCTTGGGACGGTTCAGTATGATCATGCCCTTGTTGGATGACTCCGTGGCCAGCACGGAGGAGGAGGACTGGCGAGCCGACTGCTGCGGGTGGACCATCATCGGCTGCACCTTGGTTGCTATCACTGCCGCTGATCCACCGATGAGAGGCAGTTGGCGTTGACCGAACGTGTAGACCAACCTTTGAATTGGATTTTGCTGTGCACGCGCGCACGTTTAACTTTCGCTTTATTTATTTTCGCTTACTTTGAAATTTGCATTACATACCATTTTTGCGTGTGTTTTGGTTCTGTTCCCGTCCGTGTCCCAAGTTCAATTTGAGTTGCGCAATACGCGAAAAGCTCCAGGCTCCACCACACACAGCTGTGCTTCGCAAAACATCAGAGCTGACAGTTAAGTTTTTTTCAAGCCATCACAACTTGTAAGCTACTTTCAATTACGTTTTGGCTCAGTTTTGGGCATATGGCAGGTATTTAATCACTTAAAATAAAATATTGGGGAGCCCAGGATATGCCTGGGGAAGAGCGGCCCCAGCCGAAGAAGTCCATTTTATTAACTTTAAACAAAACCAAGCAGCGGTCTGAGCAGTGTAACCGTTCGGAATGCAGTGCACATCTCTGGTCACACTACTGGCCGCTTGAAGAATATATAACATTTGTTTGCTGGCAAACAGTTTTTTGACCATATTTTATAAATAATCAAATGAAAATGATTAACTTCAAATTAGCAAATCTTTTGGGAATATATTTATTGTTCGGATAAAATTACTTGATCAGTGCTGAGAGTTCTAGTTGGCTAGTAATTCTAAGCCGAATACCATAATCGAGGAATATCAACGCAACGCAAAGAAAGGCCCTTTGAAAATGAGTACTTAAAATTGGCAAATTATTTGGAATGTTGGATGTGCACTGGCAGTCATTACTGCACCCAGCAAGAGTGGTCCATTCAACACCAAACCGAAGCCTGTTACGCTCTGATCCCAGACAGAAACGCAGCCAATCCTCGCAATATCGCAGTACACTGCTATCGCGTTTATATGCGAATAAATTTCTTATAAGGAAAACAAGAAGCAATTGTATTGTCGTGTGTTGTTGTGTAGTTTACCTTTATCTTTATCTGTCAACAAATAAACGGTGAGTAAACATTTGTAATTAGCACGCCCGGCCGCTAGGCCGATCAGTTCAGCCAGGGCCAGCCAGTGGCTCGCACTGCCATTGCCATGCCCCAGTTCTTTAAGTTTTCGAAGCGGCGAACAAAGCGACGTAGTTCATCCAATTCTGATTTTGTTTTCATATCGCCCCCTCCGACGACGACGCCGCAGATGAACTATGACGGCCTGCTGTCCAAGCTGACGGAGGACAAACTGATGCTCTTCGATACGGGGGAAGGAGCCATTGTTGAGGGCGGACGTTGTACGCAGGATGGGCCGCAGTCGCTGCCACTTGTGGAGGATGGCGCCATCGAGGAGGAGCAGGCAGCGCCGATACAAACGATTCCACGCACCGTGTTTGCCGTACCCCGTGCCCCATCGCCTTCCCCCGTTAGCACATCGAGTGCGAATTTGAACCTCAAAGCGGAAAGTGCTGCGACAGCGACACCACAGCGTAAAATATCGACGTCATCACGTTTCATGAACGCCTTCACTCAGCTATATAGCGGCGGCAGCGGCGGCAACAGTTCCAGCTGCGGTCACGTGGAGCAGCAGCAGCAGCACCACCACCAACACCAGCACCATCACAGCGAAGACCCCGACCTGGCCGCCAATCGTACGCCAACGAAGGGCATGGAGTCCAAACTGGTGGCCATGTGGCACAACGTCAAGTACGGCTGGAGCGGCAAGATTAGGCAAACGAGCTTCTCAAAGGAGCAGCCGGTGTGGCTCCTAGGACGATGCTATCATCGACGTTTCACGCCCCCCGTCAGCATGGAGAGCTCGACCACGGAGCTGCTGCTGCCCAGCGGCTCAGATTCGACGCCCGACCATGCCACATCCGCCTTCGATAGCATACAAGCCACCTCGACCACCGCCTCGTCCCTGTATCCCGCACTGAATCCGCAGCAAGTCGATGAGATTGTTGTGCCCCAGGAGCTGGGCATGGATGCGGTCGAGAATCAGGTGGGAGAACAGCCCTGGGAGGAGGGCATCGAGGGCTTTCGTCGCGATTTTTACAGTCGCGTTTGGATGACCTATCGCCGGGAGTTTCCCATCATGAATGGCTCCAACTACACCTCGGACTGTGGCTGGGGCTGCATGCTGCGCAGCGGCCAAATGCTCTTGGCTCAGGGTCTGATTTGTCACTTTTTGGGACGCAGTAAGTGGAGCGGAAATCACTTAACTAAACGGATTCTAAAGCATTTATTTTACATGCAGCCTGGCGCTATGATTCGGACTCGCAGCTGCACTCCACATACGAGGATAATATGCATAAGAAGATCATCAAGTGGTTCGGGGACAGCTCCTCAAAGAGCAGCCCCTTCTCCATACACGCACTGGTGCGCCTGGGCGAAACGCTGGGCAAGAAGCCAGGCGACTGGTATGGTCCGGCCTCCGTCTCCTACTTGTTAAAGTGAGTGCAGTGCCATAAATCGATCCATAACGGCATGGTTTATGGCATGATATTTTCATACTTTATTATAGACACGCCTTGGAGCATGCCGCTCAGGAGAATGCAGACTTTGACAATATCAGCGTTTACGTGGCCAAGGATTGCACGAGTGAGTATCAGACCTTAAGCTGGATCGATAGTTGCCATGAACAAATAGATATGATATGGAATACGCATCCATCGAACCGCCAGTCGAGTGACTAATTGTCATTACTCATGAAGGGGGGGGCCTGCCTGCCTGATAGAGTCACATTCATTTGATAAGCGTATCTATTTACGTATCTGCCTTTCAGTCTATATGCAAGACATTGAGGATCAGTGCAGCATTCCAGAGCCAGCCCCCAAACCGCATGTGCCTTGGCAGCAAACGAAGCGACCGCAGCCGGAGGCGGCACCCAAGCAGGAGCCACACCAACAGCACTGGAAATCTCTCATTGTTCTCGTACCGCTGCGCCTGGGCAGCGACAAACTGAATCCGGTGTATGCCCACTGCCTGAAGCTGCTGCTGAGCACCGAACACTGTCTGGGCATCATTGGGGGCAAGCCCAAACATTCGCTGTACTTTGTGGGTTTCCAGGAGGACAGACTCATCCATTTGGATCCGCACTACTGCCAGGAGATGGTGGATGTCAATCAGGAGCACTTTTCGCTGCATTCCTTCCACTGCAAGTCGGCGCGCAAGCTAAAGGTCAGCAAAATGGATCCCAGCTGCTGCATTGGCTTCTACTGTGCCACCAAAACGGATTTTGACAGCTTTATGGAGAGCGTGCAGCTGGTAGGCATTCCCTAGCCACTATCTGCAAAGCCCTATAATTAATTAATTAATTTTTACCGCTTTTGCAGTATCTGCATCCTATGCGCTGTGCCTCGGGTGCTACTGTGGATAAGATGACGGGCAGCCAGCACCAGGCGTCGCACCAGGCGGCGGAACAGTCCATGGAAATGAACTATCCGCTGTTTTCATTCTCGCGCGGTCGCTGCTTGGATCATGAACGCGACGAGATGAGCGATTCACTATACAAGCCGCTCATTAAGCAGGTGGCAGTGCTCACACAGGAGCTGGGTGCCCAGCTCTTGCCGCCACATCACGGCCACTTTGACCAAGATCAGGATGATAGCGAAAGCGAAGAGTTTGTGCTGCTGTAGATGATTACGTTTGCCGTGCAAGCTGTGTTATTTACTCAATTATTTGTTTGCTCTCGCTCGTTTGCCCAACAGGAACAGAACAGAACAGAACCAACCCGCCCCCTGGTATCTCAAACACAAAGACTTTTGTTATACATTAATACACATCAAACGCATATAGTATATGTATCTGCGCATCTGTATCTGTAGTATATAGTCAACACTGAACACACACTCCTAATCTCTCTTACGCATTGTCTCGCATTTCTCACTCTGCCAAATGTTCCAAGCTTTTTTCCATTTGTGTTATAGCAGCGCCCCAAAACGGATGATCTGTGTATCTGCGTATGTGGCGGTGCTTGTCTTTATTTTATGTTTTTATTTTTTTATTCTTATATTTATATATGTATACATATGTATGTATGTGTAATTCGCGGTATTATTATGTTTAATCACGAATCTTGAATGGAATTGAATAGATAGTTTTCTTAGCGTACATACACCAGCGTTTCCTGGTTAGATCCTTATGTTCTAGTTCTAGTTGTTAGTTAAATTATGTACCAATCCAATGTAAGTCTCCCATCCCATACCATCCATCATTATTGTGTTTTAAAAGAGAATAATTGTATATACCCTTGTGGAAATCAATAAATAAATTATCCTAAATATACATAAATACTGTGTACAATTGATATGCGGAGTGGGGTTAGGTAAGTGGGAGGGATAAGTGCCTCTAGCTATGAGTATCTCTGGTGTTTTCTTAATTCTAGGATCTGGGACTAGTAGTCACTGAAAGAACCACACAACCGCAGTTCCTGCTCAGGTTTAAGGTATTCCCTTTCTAGGATTTTACCTAGCGTTTACCTGTGCCTCACGCTCCAGCCGCTTCAACAGCTTGGACAGATTCTCTCGTGCGGTCGTGGCCCTGGAGCCGTTGATGCTTATCGCCGTACGATATGCCTCAATGGCCTCCTGCACCTTGTCCCAGCGATGGTAGAGCACCCCCAGATTCGAGTAGTACAGCATATTGTGCGGATCCAGCTGAATCACACGCTTGTAAAGTGTCTCCGCCTCGACATAGTGCTTCAGTTTGCCCAACACATTGGCGCGTATAAAGAGGATGCTCATCTCGTTGGGCAAATGCCGCAGGGCCTGATCCGAGATGCGCAGAGCATCGTCATACAGCGACCGATTGTCGAGCATGGTCAAGATGTTGGCCCAGGCCTTTGGCTGGCGCGGATTCAGCGTGACGGCGTGCTGCCAGTGCTGCAGCGCTTCGGCATAGAGTTTCTGCTCCAAATAGAGATTCCCAATGTTGTAGTAGCAGACGGCAAAGTTGGCTCTGTAGGAGAGAGCCTTCTCATAGCTGGTCTTTGCCTGGTCGTACTTCCTCTGGGCCGATTGGACAATGCCCAGATTCATCCAGGCGGCGGGGAACGCCGGCAAGACCTGCAGGGCCATGCGAATATACTTTTCAGCCGTCTGCAGCTGTCCATGCTCCCGGTAGAGATTGCCCAGATTCATCAGAGCTGCCTCATACTCGGGATGCAGTTCGATGGCATAGTGATAGTGCTGAAAGGCCTTCGTGTTGTTGCCCGTGTCCGTGGCCAGGCGGGCGATGTTGTAGTGCACCTTGGCATTGTCGGGGCACACCTCCAGCGCGGACTTGAACAGCTGATCCTCGTTGAGCCAGTCGGTTGCCCGCTGACGTGTCCGCACCATCATCACAGCAAAGAGGAGCATCAGCAGAGCCTGCAGGAGAGTGCGCCAGAAGGTCTTGTGGATGTTGTAGTCGTACCAATAGAGGAATCCGTAGATGGACAGCAAACAGAAGCCAATCGAGGGCACGTACAGCGTCCTCTCGGCTATCACAAATCCCACGCGAATGATGCCCGAGGCGGGCAGAAATGGAATGATCATCAGACCCAGGCCGAGCATCATGCCCGGCAGGCGGCGGAAGTTAATCAGGGCCGTCAGCAAGATGGAGTAAAACCCAATGACGCCCTGCAGCCGCAGGTCCCAAATGCTGGTCACCAGCTTCACACAGCCCAGGGCCCAGTCGTAGCACAGCCAGTGGGGGCAGAGCATCAGCCAGATGTTCATGACCAGCAGATACTGCTGGGAGAGCACCCGCGTGAGGATGTGGTCGTTGTGGGCAATGGGATTGTCCACTTCCTTGAACTGGGGCGACTCAAAGTTCTGCCACCAGAGGCGAGCCGTCAGCAGGGCCGATGTGCCCAGGATGTAGACAATGTAGCTGATGCGCGTGCGCAATATTTTGGCCTGATCCTTGAGCGGCAGGTGGTAGTAGCCGTTCTGAAAGTAGTCCATCAGCACACAGGACATGGGTATGGTCACGGCCGACTCCTTGAACAGCATCCCGATCGCCGTGAGTGAGAGTATCAGGCAAATGCTGTGGGGACTGTGCTTCCCCGCATTGGCCACCGTCAGGAGCAGGCAGAGCAGATGGATCATGCCAAACATTAGCTCCGCACGGCCCACAATTCCCGACACCGCCTCCGTGTGGATGGGATGGGCGGCAAACAGAGCCGCCGATATGATGGCCCACCGCTCGCCGTTGATCTCCACCACATACAGCGATCGGACCAGTCGCCACAGCAGCAGCGTATTCACACAGTGCAGCAGGAGATTCAGGAACTTCATGTGTGCCGCCGTCAAGCCCAGTAGGGCATATTCGCAGTGGAACATGAGCGTCGTAAGCGGTCGGAAGGACTTGTGGGAATCGGAGCTGAGCAGCGATGCTCCCCAAAAGTCATGCGTGAAGATGGCCGTCCAGTTGGTGGGCAGTGCATTCACATCCTTGTTCTTCACAATCGCCACCGTATCATCGAAAACAAACTCGGATCCACTCAGACCCCCGCAGCCGTAGCAGATCAGGCACATTAAAACCAATATCGACTGGCATACCATGCTGTGCAGCGCGGTGCTCTGCCCGAGAAGACCGACGCACAACATTTTCAAGTTTTAATTGGTATTTTTGTTAGTTTTAATTCACTTTATGTACATTTTAATGTTTGCGGCGTTTTGCATACATTTTTTTTGTTGTGGCTCCCGCTCCACCCACAAAACGAACAGTGATGACAATTTGGCTTGAAAAAGTACAGCCTTAAACGATAGCTAAAAAAAACGAATTTATTTTGCTGCTCACTCTATCCCTTTGAATTACTCCATCTCAGATCTGTATCTTTCTATCATGTCTCAAATATTTAATTTATTTGATTGAGTGGATATTATTTATACGCAGTTGTCAACTGTGGCCAATAAAAAGCCAACACTGCCAGCACTGTCTTGGCCTTTTCATTCGCATGTTAACGTCGCCGTCAGCTGTTCCACCTTCAACTGCAAACAAATCTGAGAAAATATTTTTCTGTTCTTAAAATGTCGGAGGAAATACTGTTTGATTGCCTGCATGCTGAGATAGTCAACTATTGTCTGGACAGCAACAAGGTGCGTGTTAACAAATCAATCAACAGCCCTCAAATATCAATTATTAACTTTGTTCCGCCCCACAGGAGAACGACCTGGCCACTTTGGAGTACATTGGCTTCACCACAGGATATCGTTTGATTGAGCGCCTTACACGCGAGGTGGCGCGGTTCAAGGATGAGCTGGAGACCATGAAATTCATCTGCACCGATTTCTGGACCCTGATCTACAAGAAACAGGTGGACAACTTGCGGACAAACAATCACGGCATGTATGTGGTGCAGGACAAGTCATTCCGTTTCCTAACACGCATCTCGCCGGGCACCAAGCAGCTGGAACATGCGCCCAAATTTGTGGCCTTTACCTGCGGCCTGGTGCGCGGAGCCATCAGCAATCTGGGCATCAACAGCACCGTCACCGCCGAGGTACAGAGCATACCGGCCTGTAAATTCCACATAGAAGTGAACAGGAGCTAGAGTATAGTGATAATGTGGGGTGGTTTATTTTGCTTAAAATTAAAGTTACTATTACTATTATCCGTTTGTCTGCAGTCGTTTTGGCATTTGAGATTTTGTTCTGCGAGACTTGTTGTTCTTTGGTGGCAAGTCGGCATTCCAGGCAATCGGACACATCTGCCACCAGGCAAAGGCGACACTTGGTGTGGCCACAGCTGTCGGTGACCAAGCGATTCTGTCCAGTTGCTTCGCAGTCGCAGCGATAAATTCCCGACACCGCCTCCGTGTGGATGGGATGGGCGGCAAACAGAGCCGCCGATATGATGGCCCACCGCTCGCCGTTGATCTCCACCACATACAGCGATCGGACCAGTCGCCACAGCAGCAGCGTATTCACACAGTGCAGCAGGAGATTCAGGAACTTCATGTGTGCCGCCGTCAAGCCCAGTAGGGCATATTCGCAGTGGAACATGAGCGTCGTAAGCGGTCGGAAGGACTTGTGGGAATCGGAGCTGAGCAGCGATGCTCCCCAAAAGTCATGCGTGAAGATGGCCGTCCAGTTGGTGGGCAGTGCATTCACATCCTTGTTCTTCACAATCGCCACCGTATCATCGAAAACAAACTCGGATCCACTCAGACCCCCGCAGCCGTAGCAGATCAGGCACATTAAAACCAATATCGACTGGCATACCATGCTGTGCAGCGCGGTGCTCTGCCCGAGAAGACCGACGCACAACATTTTCAAGTTTTAATTGGTATTTTTGTTAGTTTTAATTCACTTTATGTACATTTTAATGTTTGCGGCGTTTTGCATACATTTTTTTGTTGTGGCTCCCGCTCCACCCACAAAACGAACAGTGATGACAATTTGGCTTGAAAAAGTACAGCCTTAAACGATAGCTAAAAAAAACGAATTTATTTTGCTGCTCACTCTATCCCTTTGAATTACTCCATCTCAGATCTGTATCTTTCTATCATGTCTCCAATATTTAATTTATTTGATTGAGTGGATATTATTTATACGCAGTTGTCAACTGTTGGCCAATAAAAAGCCAACACTGCCAGCACTGTCTTGGCCTTTTCATTCGCATGTTAACGTCGCCGTCAGCTGTTCCACCTTCCACTGCAAACAAATCTGAGAAAATATTTTTCTGTTCTTAAAATGTCGGAGGAAATACTGTTTGATTGCCTGCATGCTGAGATAGTCAACTATTGTCTGGACAGCAACAAGGTGCGTGTTAACAAATCAATCAACAGCCCTCAAATATCAATTATTAACTTTGTTCCGCCCCACAGGAGAACGACCTGGCCACTTTGGAGTACATTGGCTTCACCACAGGATATCGTTTGATTGAGCGCCTTACACGCGAGGTGGCGCGGTTCAAGGATGAGCTGGAGACCATGAAATTCATCTGCACCGATTTCTGGACCCTGATCTACAAGAAACAGGTGGACAACTTGCGGACAAACAATCACGGCATGTATGTGGTGCAGGACAAGTCAAATCGTTTCCTAACACGCATCTCGCCGGGCACCAAGCAGCTGGAACATGCGCCCAAATTTGTGGCCTTTACCTGCGGCCTGGTGCGCGGAGCCCTCAGCAATCTGGGCATCAACAGCACCGTCACCGCCGAGGTACAGAGCATACCGGCCTGTAAATTCCACATAGAAGTGAACAGGAGCTAGAGTATAGTGATAATGTGGGGTGGTTTATTTTGCTTAAAATTAAAGTTACTATTAACTAGATTATGCTACTTTTTCATAGAACGCCACGACATTTCGGTCAGTCCAGTCGAGGCGCTCCCGCAGAATCCACCCATCGGTGGGCAGCTGCGGCTGAATGGGATTCGGATCTGTATGTATGCCAAGGGCTGGCTGTGGCCCTATCAATATCAGCCACTTGCCCCGATATATTCGCAGGTAGTCGAGAAAAGCCCGACGATTGTTAAAGTAACAGAAGAGCATCGCACAAGGTGGAGCATCGTTGCAGCAATTGCTCAAGAAACTGGCATCCAGTTGGCTTGGACTGGCTGCATCTTCCACATAGTTCAGCGGAATGAAACTGCGCACGGAATACTTGCTCTGCCACCAATTTCGATCGACTTCCAGGCCGTGCATGCTGATTCTCTGCCCACCGGCTGCGGCCATCAGCCATTCCAGTAGACCACTGCCACAGCCAATGCTCAGAATGCGCTGGATGTGATGCTTGGCCAGAAAATGATTGTAATTATCCAAGTCCACCGATGTGGGCCATATCCAGAGTAGCTTGCGCTTCAGCTGCTGCTCCAGCGAGTCGCCAAGGGAAAGCAGTTTACGCCAACTGCCCGAGGCCCCATTCGTTAGGTAATAGATCTCACGCAGCGACTCGAGTTCCGATTGCTCGTCGAACATATTGAATACTGATATTTGGTAATACTCGAAGACTCTTCAGCGGACTGTCTTCCGATAGCATGAGAACTTGGCATTGACGTCGAGGCTAGCAGGCAGCACGCGGAAATATGGCGAGCGGCCAACTAGATGCTGGTGACGGTGACGTTTTGTGGGCATCTTTCCCAGCACTTATTCCTAATCACTAATAAATCAAGGGCCATCTGCCAAAAAGGGTGGCAGACAGCCTCATAATTAGAATATCATTAGAATTCGATCAATTTGTGTGCTCGTTTTCATACGAGTATTTGAAATTCTTGCGCCAGTGCATTTCGCTAAAATTGGAGGTGCTGTGGCCCGGGCCACGCTGCTGCTGACGTTGCTCCTGCATTGCGGCGGTGGCATCTTGTCCCGTGGATACCTCCTCCTCTATGCTCAACTCATTCGAGTACTCTTCGTTGTCCAAATCCAAGATGATCTTACGATAGAGCTTAACATTTTGCTTCTGCATTGCATCTGGCAGGGGTTTCACTGTGTCCTGCTGCTGCTGTTCCAGCCGCACTTCGGGCAGGTCCACTGGCAGCACAACTGGCTCCACATTGCCCACGCTCTTAATGACGCTGTTGTACCGCAGACTCTCGGCTGGGGTCTCCTCAGCAGCAGAAGGCTCGAATGCACTCGATGGAGTTATGATTTCCACGCAGCTCTCGAATGCAACGCCTGGATGCATGGAGCGAAGGTGGCGGTGCATGTTATCCCGACGATTGACTGTGACCTCGCACTGGGTGCAGCGATAGCGCTCGACAGTCTTGTGTTGTCGCAAATGGCGGGCCAGTGCATCCGCATCGTTGTAGCTCTTCCACACAGGGGACAGGGCTGGCGCTCGCGCATCGAGTGACGCTTCATATGCAACCTGAGCGTGGACTGGCGCAGGAATGACTTCTGGCAAACTTTACACTTGTGTCGCGAGCTGTTCTGGTCGTGCTTCAGGCGATGCTGCTTCAGATTCGCCTTGTTCTGGAAGATCTTCGCGCAAGTCTCGCATTTGTACGGAAATCCGTGATCTGTGTGCGCCACCAAATGATCCTTGAGTGTGCTCGGACAGCGGAAAACCTTGTGGCAGTGATCACAGGCATGCTGCTCATTTTTGTGGATGCGCATGTGACGCTGCAGGACGTTTGGCTGCTTAAATTTTTTGCCACAAATGCTGCAGGAATACTTTGATTGGCTGACGTGATTGTTCAGATGGTACTTTAAATGCGAGTGGGTTGCAAAGCGCTATTGGGGAAAGAAGAATCATCCAATTATAATATTTTTAAAGGGCAAAAAACCGCCAGCCACTTACGCGGTTGCATTGCTTGCAGCAGAACTTCTTGAGCAGATCGTTGCCGCAGGCAAGATGGTAGTACTGTTGGGTGCGGCTGCGGAAATCCTTCTTGCATACGGTGCAGTGATAGCCCTGATCCGTGATGGTTATCCGTTTGTCTGCAGTCGTTTTGGCATTTGAGATTTTGTTCTGCGAGACTTGTTGTTCTTTGGTGGCAAGTCGGCATTCCAGGCAATCGGACACATCTGCCACCAGGCAAAGGCGACACTTGGTGTGGCCACAGCTGTCGGTGACCAAGCGATTCTGTCCAGTTGCTTCGCAGTCGCAGCGTGGACATTTCCCCATCACATCACATTTATCACAAATAATTCAAACAACGAAAAGTGCAGCCTGCAGGCCATGCACAGTCTCTTCTTCTTCTAGAAGGGCAACCAGCTGACTGTCGCTGCCATTCCAAGCGAAACGCAAACACAGGTGGTAGTCGGGGGGAAATATGAAATATATTTGTAACATTTTTAAGACTTAAACTAAATGATTGAGAGAATCATCCTTATCATAGCAGTACAATGAGCTGAGCTTCAACAAAATCTCCTTAATCTATTAATCATCCATGCCCTCCAGGTCCAAACTCGCCACGTGGCCCGGAAAGAGATGAGCCTTCTGTATGGGAACTTGAACAAAATAGCGCTCGCAGAATTTTGGATTGCGTCGGGATAGCACTTCCTGGAGTATTGTCTTGTGGTTAGCTTTCTTCGTGATCAGAAGACGTCTAGATTCGCCATTGCCATAGCTACCTGAGCGTAAGCCGTATTTGCTCGCAATCCTGAAAGTGGGAATCAATTGGTTTGATTTTTAAATGGTGGTGGAAAAGGCTTTACGATTAATACAAGACTAGCAGATGAGCAGAGCAGAGCAGAGAATCCACAAAGTACCTTACAATTACGCGGATATTTTCCAAATGATGGCACCGATGGCGCGGGCACTTACTTGTGAAATGAGGCACGCTCTTCCTTGGAGAACGTTGGCTCAAATTGCATATCGCGCATATCATCCGATTTGACATAGTTTTCAATCATTCTGCGATAGTCACCGAGATTTACGTGCGGCTTGTTGCAGCCACCCAAGCCAGTGCGATTGCTTTTCAGCAAATATCTAAAAAATAAGCCAATGTTTTAATGATGATGATCATACAGAGATTGCTTTCAATAGTTGGTACCTACCCAACGGGTTCTTCGCGTCCTTGCTTTTGGCGCCCCAAGCCACCGCCCGTCCAGCCCATTAGGCGCATCATGCGGTAGCCTTTGTTGGTTTCATCCAACTTGGGATCGCCCAGGCTATCTGCGGACTCCTTCGTCACATTGATGTTCACACCATTGACAGTCTTCTCGACTTTGATGGTTTGTCGAGTGGCGTTTAGCTGAATAATTTTGAATTTGTAAGTCAATTGACGCCAACTTGGAATGGTCTCTTTTGGCATACCTTGATGCTGTAGCAGTGTGTTTGGAGCAGGAACAATGCCTGTTTAAATGCTGCACTCTTGGCCGCCTTGAGGCTTTCACCTTGGCCAACTGCTATCACCTCGTTATTCACAAGAATTTCCGAATATTTGGTGTTTTCGGTGGACTCGGACTCTTTGCACGGACGCTCCTCGTATTTAATATGGCTTATGGCACACGAATTTCGCAGACAACTCCGTCCGCCGGCTAGGTACAGTATGAGACTGCCAAAACGTAGGCCCTCGAAGAGATCAATTGGCTTGCCGCCGCCAAAACACTGACGTTCTCGACTGTATGGATTCGTGCCAGCCCGCTGCTCATCCTGGCGTTGATCAGGCTTTGTTGTACCACTGCGCCCTATTTGTTATTTGGAATTATTCATTAGGAAGAATTCGTGGTCTCTGGCTCATATATGTAACTACTAGTAATATAAATAATTCTCTGCCTGGTCAAATCGAACTAATTCTTCCGTCTACCTTTGGCGCGCTGCTCCGCCGCATCCGATGCGGAGACAAATGTTCGCTTCAGACGCTGGTCGCGCTTCCGTCTAAACTCTTCAGCGATCTCTTTGGACATTTCCGCCACCAGATGCATCGTTTCGCTTGGGTATTTGCAGCCGAGGAATTCCATATTTACGAATGTCTGTGCCAGGCACACCAGCCGGTCCTCGTCAAAGCGCTCCTTGTGTGCGACCATAAAGCTGCGCCGCAAATCCCAGTGCTCCTCACTCTCATATTCCGTCCTGTAGTCTTCCACATTCCAGGCCAATGAAAATTCTCCGGATCCATAGCCGGCGTCCGTTTCTTTTGCCTTCACTTTTTTCTGTTTTTTGGTGGTTATAGTATTGTCAGTGATTACAACATCGTCAGACTCATTCTCAATTCTTTGTTTCTTTACTTTTGAAGCCATTTCGTGTGTTTTTTTTCCTAGCAGCTATTTTTTTACGCCAAGGCACGCTTCTATTCCAAATATAGTGTGGCTGATTCTCAGAAATATACCGTAAAATACCGAGGAAAAGACGAACTTAATATACTTATATCTTCGGGATATTTTGACGTTGAATTCAAGTACATCGGTATATTTAATCAATGAAATCACTCTATTAAATATTATTTTTGATTCACAAAGGCCATTTTCAAAATTACCGCCAAATTGTTCCAACAATCAATATATGAAACGCCAATACGAGTTGGGTGAGTCGGTATATTTTTGACGCTTAGAGGGTATATTTGATCGAAAAATCCGCGGTCACACTCGTCGTGCCGTGTGTGTTTTTAAGTTCCTGGTTTTTAATTCATGATTTTTTGGTAATTTATTATCATTTTCGAAAGGACAAAAAAGCAGCCAGTAACTAACTGATCAAGTGTCTCCATAGCTGCGAGTGACCTAGCCGAGTGCATCAACGTTCCAGACACACAGCAGCCAAAACTGCCAACATGAGCATACCCAACGAATACATTGCGAAAACAGAAGATGTGGCGGAACAGGTAATATTTATTTAACAGTACTCTGAATGAAACACAAGAGATGGGGCATACCTAGTCAGCAGGCGCCCTCACAAACCCCTTGACATCCAACATATTGGTCGTGGACTAGACGTTAAATGGGGGCTCTGGACAGCTGCATGGAGAGAGAAAACTGCCAACGTCACCCAAACGCGGCAAAGTTTGTAGTGCCCCAGTGCAGTCGAATCGCTGGCCCTGACTATGTGTGCAAGGTTAACTCAGTCTGAGTACCGATTTAGCCAGAATCCCATCCCGCTTATCAAGCAAAAAAATGATTCCAATTCGCAATTGTTGCGTCTGCACCAGACAAAAATACACCCATATGAACACCCAGACACACACACACGCAAACACTTTAATGCCTGCGAGAGTGTGCGTGCGAATTGCTTCTTGCAAGTGAAAGTGGTGAGAGTGAGTGCGTGAGACGCCGCGGACGCCATCGGCCAGGTCGAGAGTTCCGTAATAATCTTTGAGAAAGCAAAATGGTTTAATAATGCTGCATACCAACGACACCTGGTAGTGTATGTGTATGTGTGTGCGCCTGGTATTTTTATATTTATTCAAATCGCATCGAGAGCGTGCTGGGCAGCTGCTAACATAGGCCTAAAAACCCGTTAGGCGAGCAGAGCGCGCACGCCGATAGTGGAGATCGGCAGAGATAGATAGATAGAGAGAGGGCGAGAGACACGTCACTGTCTTGCCAAACCGACATTTTCCCTCATAAATACATGTGTATGTGTAAAAGCCCCGCTCAGTGAGTGGCGTCGTATATTTTCCATCTCTTATCACCCGCACACTTATCAATTCCTCAAACTGTATTTTAGCTATCACTAAATGAATAATTATTCCTCTCTCTCTCTCCACGTTCTCCACGTTCTCCAGGTTATCAAGCGCGGCAAGAATGTGCTACCCACGGTGGCGCGGCTCTGCCTCATCGCTACCTTCTTCGAGGATGGCCTGCGCATGTACTTCCAGTGGAACGAACAGCGCGAGTACATGGACATGAGCTGGGGCTGTGGCAAGTTCCTGGCCACCGTCTTCGTGCTGGTCAATCTGCTCGGACAACTGGGAGGCTGCGGCATGGTAATGGCTAGATTCAAGGTTGACATCGCCGTCGGTCTGCTCTTCTTCATTGTGGTGCTACAGGTAAACGAATCAGAACTCCAAAGAAAGACACCTGCTAACCTGCTCCTTTTCTTTGTTGATTCCACAGACAATAGCCTACTCCATTCTGTGGGACTTCCAGTTCTTGCTGCGTAACTTTGCCTTGATTGGAGCCCTACTGTTGGTTCTGGCCGAGGCTCGGATCGAGGGGCGCAGTTTATTTGCGGGCGTGCCATCGATGGGCGACAATAAGCCCAAGAACTTCATGCAGCTGGCGGGACGCATTCTGTTGGCCTTCATGTTCATCACCCTCATCCGGTTCGAGCTGAGCGTGTGGCAGGTGATCCAGGACATTATCGGCTCCATTCTGATGGTGCTCGTGGTGCTGGGCTACAAGACGAAGCTGTCGGCCCTGATTCTGGTCGCTCTGCTCTCAATTCTGAATTTGTATCACAATGCCTGGTGGACCATTCCGTCCTACAAGCCACTCAGGGATTTCTTGAAATATGACTTTTTCCAGGTAAAAACAACAGCAACAGTCTGCTTGTTGTCGATACTCAATTAATTCGATATGATTATTATTATTACAGACACTTTCGGTTATTGGTGGCCTGCTAATGATCGTCTCCTTGGGCCCTGGCGGCGTATCCATGGACGAGCACAAGAAGAAGTGGTAGAGAGGCGTTCGCGCAAAACCACCACGAAACACTTGGGGCAGCCATTGACTTGAACCGTGTTTTACTCTTTCCGAGAAATGTTAGTTAGGATTTACCATAAAATGGGACAACAACAGGAGCAGCATCAGCAGCAGCAGCACAGCAACAACATCGGCACACCACACCTATAAGATCTTGACAAATATTTAAATGAAAAGGGACTTGACTTTCGCAATAACCTCCCAACCAACCCATACCCCAAACCCAACCATCATTCGCGCACATTCAACGACAAACTTCGTCTGTCTACATTTAAGATCGTTTTTTCTTTTTGTACATAACGAAAATGCAACAAGCAAATGTGGCCCCAAACGAGAGACATTAACTGATATTGACTATCCATTACTTGTCAGCAAGAATCCATATAATTCGCAGGTTTTTTTTACCATAATTTGTATGCCCTTATCCATAAGTTTTAATCTTGGTGTTTGCGTTTTGTTGTTTAATAGGACGGTTGAATATGACACGATGAAAACGATGTATAAAATATGATGAGTGTACCAATTGACAATGATTTGTTTCTTTCGTTTATAAGCAAAAGTGTAATAGAATTAAATTGTAACGTTTTAATAAACATAATGAAGAAAATTTAATAATTTTGATTTATAAATTTGAAAGCGATAAATTACGGTAGACTTGAAATCGATAAGTCGCATATAATTTTTTATTTAATTATAAATTTGCTTTATTTTTGTACATTACAATCTCTTAACTCTCTGCGAGCTGTGTCGCTCTGTGGGTATAGCTATTGGCTATTGTTTTCGATACATATGTCTAAAAGAATGTCCTTCCTCGAGCTGAGATTTGGGCACTCGCAGCAGCTGCAGGGACTTCGTGTCCCAGGCCATCCTCGCACCTTAGCCCGAGCATCCGCGGCACCCGCAATGCACACACTCCACAATGCGTCCCTCCTCGAGCTTGGACTTGGGCACACGGCAGATGCAGTTGGTGCCAAAGTTTGTGTCGCGCGACTGTATGCATCGCAGGCAGCAGAGGTTCTCGTAGCCGGACTTTTTCCATTTGGCTATCAGGTTGCCATCGGCGATCTTCTCCTTGAGGCAGTAGTCATAGAGCTCCCGGCTAATGGCCTTGCGCCGGTGGAACAGGTCGTAGATGTAGCGCGTCTTCTGATGGTGGATCTTGAATATGGGCCAGAGGGACTCCGAAATGCGTTTTCCCTCGTGTGGTTCTGTTTCGGCCTCGCGCATCTTCTGCTCGATCTCCTCGAGTGTGGGCTCTATCAACTCCCATCCGTCTGGGGGCGGCTTGCGGCTTCGGCGTACTTTTGGCATACTTTATAAAGGTTTTATTTCTTAATGCCAAAATTTGATGTGATGCCACAGTATGATAATAATAAAGTAGTAGGGCCACACTTATCTAGGGTTGCCAAATATTAAAAAAATATCGGTGATATATTATTCTTTGAAGAAATATCAAAATAAATTATAATATATAACCGAAACAATATAATTGCTTATATTGAATTCCGCGGGCACAAATATTTTTTTAGGAATGCGCATGTTTTTCATTTTTAAATTCATATCGATATATTGATATTTTTGACAACCCTACACTTCACACAAAAGTGTTTGCATTCAAGTAAATTTATTTGCCGGCAATTTTTATCGAGTCCATCTAACAACAATTACGTTTTCAAGTTAAGAAGTTTTGATTCTGCAGTTGACCGAAAATGTCGAATACGTCCCAACCAATTCCAGCAAAGGTATAAAACATAATTTATATGGGATTTCAGTAACTTTGAAAATTGCTTCATAGGTAACTCCGATTAATGTCCGAGTCTTTGAGCTACCAGAGTATATTTTCGTACAGACAAAGCTGATTACACCACGCTACGCCTTGGATAATGGGATTGTTCCTGTCCGCCTAAAGAAGACATGGAGACGGACGAAGCCTGCTTGTGCCGACCAGCCGCCCAAAAGTGAGCGCCATCTACCCAAGTTAGTGCCGCTGGGCACCCGCAATGACCAGCAAAAGTCATCGGATACCAAGAATCCCGTCCGCGAGCGCTACATCCAGACGGAGGAAAAGCTGACGTGCGATGTGGGAGTGCAATGCGACACAGACGACTGGGAGGAGCCTGTGGACATAGTGGCCGAAGGGGCATTGTCGAATGGAGAGGAGGACGACGAAACGAAATTCATCACATTCGTGGGTGAGAACACATCGATGACCCGGAACGGAATGATGGAGTGCCTGGTCTGCGGCGAGGTGGCCCGTTCCCTGCAGCAGCACAAGAGTCACATTGTCATGCACTATGGGCCACCAGTACTCTGCTGCCTTTGCGGCGAGCTCGTTGAACACGAGCACATGCTGCGCAGACATAATCTCATCTGCCCCTCACGTCCATCGAAGAAGCCGTCAATTTTCCTCAAGTGCCCGAATAGGTTCTGCAATGTTGTGACCAGAACGCAGCCACAGTTGTACAAACACCTACGCACACACGAAAAACGGCCATTCTATCGCTGCCTGCAGTGTCGTTTGTATTTCAAGACTGCTATTTCATTTCTTCTGCATCGCAAGAAAATAGAAGGCTGCGCCAGATCAAAGGCGCTTTTACTGTTCGACAAGCATTCGGCAATGCAAGGCAAGGGAAATCTCAAGCGCTGCACAGTCTGCCTGAAAAAGTTCAGCAATGAGCGGGTGTGCGGCATTCACAGGCTCAACTGCATGCAGGCGCATCACAGACGACTGACAAGAAAACTCTTCAAGACCTCGAAATTGGCCTAAACGATATTTATTTATGTAAATTGATAACAATAAATCGAAGCAGCACCTATGACGCCTGCACGCCGTGCGCTTTCTTTAAGCCCCGGAACAGCTGCAGCTTCTCCAGATTGATCTCCTTCAGGGTCTGCACGGCCAGCTCCAGCTGCACCTTCTTCAGCGAATGCTCGCTGGCAATGTATTCCTCGATGAACTTCAAACTGATGTCGTCGGCGGCAAAGTCCTGCTCCGTCTTGCCAATGGCCGTATCTATTTCCTGCTTAATTCCCTGCTTCTCCTCGGGCCTTCGCAGGAATCCCCGCAGTTCCGAGAGTGCGCTCTCATCGGGAGTGGGATGTAGAGCGTCCAGCTTATCCAAAGTTTGCGCATATTCAACCGGAATTTTGTGTATTTTATAGGTCAGCGCAATTAGCTCGACGGCATTGTGCAGGTAGTCCCGCCGGATCATGTCGTACAAGAGATCGTCGATGCACCGATGCCAGGCATAGAAGAAGGCCATGGGACCAAAGTGCCGGGTGGAACGCAGCAGATCGAACTGCTTTGATTCGTTTAAATGCTCGAAAACTCTCGCTGAGAGATTGTGGAACTCGGTCTCGTAGGGTTCGTATTGCACTGTCAGCCTGTCCAGCACGAACTCGTATTTGTGCTCCTCCAGACACTTGTGCAGCAGCTCCTCGTGGGCGAACATGCGTGGGGTGTAGGACTTGCGGCCCTCCAGTGGGAAGTAGAGCTGATTCATTCGCTTGGTTGTGTCCAGCGAGGCGTACGCCAGGGTGCCGTCTGTTTCGCGGACCACCACCTTGCGCTCCGAGTGGGGCAGGCCGAAGGTGATGTCCGTGAACACGTACTTGGTGGTGTCAAAGTCTTTAAGTGCCGGATCCTTGGCAATGAGGCGTTCGGTGTCTTGTTTGATCTTTACGATGGGCGGCATCTTCAGCAGATGCTTGGCCTTCTCGATGGTCAGCAGGAACTCCGTCTCTAGCTGCTCGTTGGTCATGAACTTGGTCTCGCTCCTGTTGTCCTTCACAGTCCTCTTGCGGAACACCTTGTCCAACTGCAGTTGCGTCATGGACCGAAGCAGGCGCTGGGTCTCTGCATCGGTGAAAAGCGGCTGTGGATCCTGTTCGTATTTGAGCGTGGCGCTCTTTGCCGGTGCGCTGGAAACCTCCCGCCGGCAGTGGTGTAGCCCTTGCAATGCATTTAGCCGCCGCACGTGCCTCAAAAGCGACATTTTAATTCAATTTAAATAAGTAACAAGTAACAAAATACACGAGTCGAAAATTCAGTGCTGGGCAACGAGCTATGCAAACCGTTTCACAGTACTGGTATTTCCAGTTCTTGTAGAATGCATGTAGAAGTCGCGATTGTTAGTTACATCTTGTGTAGTTGCCGTGTAAAGTAATTGAAATAGGAAAATGATTGTTTATTACTCTTAAATGGCTGGGATACTTGAACAAAACTACTATAAGCAAACTATTCATTCAGTTATCAAAGATATTCCACCGAAATTCTGTTATATCAATTATAAGTCGATCAGTTGCATCGATGTTTTGGCAAGCTTTAAATAAAGCATCGATAGTATTGACTGTTACATTAGGGGTACTAACTTACAAATTTGTTTGTATGGATAAGGTCTTTTTGATGAGTTCTTTTGGTAATGTAAGCCTTTGAAAATCGCTTTAAAGACCCTTGAAACTAATTATGATTACATTTAGATATGCTTTAGATAGTTATGCGGCCAAGCTGTGCTGATAACATGTTTCAGGAGTAACCATAATCTTGAGCAGGGCTGCGATAGCGAGCCACGAACAAAACAATTCGCGGTATCGATAGGAGCCATCGATGGTTTTGCTCTACTATTAGTTTCATTTTAGAAAAATTGCAGGAAAAATTGGCATTCATTAAAACGGGTACAATGGATAACGCCGATGTGGGCAGCGCTTTTGTTGTAGCGCAAAAGCGTCGCTTCTCGGTCAGCGAGATTGCTCTCAAAGATGCCGCACCCATGCTATGCGTTGACCAAGACTACCGCCCCGAGCCGAAGACAAAACAACGCAAAAAAGGGGACGACATCCAGGAGCACCACCTGCTCGGCTTTTGCGATGAAATTCTATACGAGATTTTCAAGTACCTGGACACGCCTTCCATCATGGCCCTCATGCAGTAAGTCGCGAACGCGTGACCCAACTCCAATACTCTTCTTTTGTCGTTTGTTTGGTCAGCTGCTCGCCGCGTTTGGAGAACTTGCTGCTGGATCACCGGTTTTGGCACGGAATTGATCTCAGCAACGGGCCCCTGCCGTTGGGCATACTGGAGGAGATACTGGGACGTGCCACGGAAAAGACCCACACAATTAAAATTTGCGGACCGCCCTCGTCACAACATGTTGCGGGCGAGTTCCGGCAGTTCACCTGCACCCTGACCACCGTTTTCCCCAAAGTGGCCACACAGCTGAAGGTGCTGGAGCTGCAGGGCGTCAGCCTGGATTTTGAATATGTGAGAGGCACACAAAATAAACAACTAGTTTCTTATGATTGAATTTAATTCTCCAAATATAGATACGCATCACACAGTTTCCTGGCTCGCTGAAGCGTCTCAAGCTCAAGGACTGCAGTGTCAAAGTTGGGGATCAGGGCAAGAGCATATTCCATACGATAGAGATGCAGCTGGTTAACTTGGAGGTGAGTGGAGTGGAGCCCCAGCATAGCTGAGCAGCTCTTAATGTGTTCACTTGCCTCGTGCAGGATCTCAGCATCGAGGATAACAACTGGTTCGAGCCGTACTACATCATGGCCCTCTCAAAGCTGCCCTCGCTGCGACGCCTCAGCCTCAAGGGCTGCCAAATGCTGTGCAAATTTGTGCCGTACGGCAGCATGGCAGCACGCTTTGGTTTTATGAAGCTAGAGGTGCGTTGGCCGAATCGACATGGGTCTCTGTTCTGTGAAAAATTTATTGCAATTCGTTCAACAGGTGCTCGATCTACGTCTAACGCCCATAAATAACTCGGATCTGCAATGCTTCAGTGCCATTGAGAACCTTAAGGAGCTACTGCTGGAGTCCCCACTTAACCCGCCGCCGGAAGCGGCATCGCCTGAAAAGGTGAACAATGGTAATGACGAGGCTGCCACATCGCAGCCGGAATCTCTGCAAGTGCTAAATGACGACGAGCCGTCCACTTCTCGCGCTGCCATGGAGCATTTGCGTGCCTGCAAAATGGCACGGGGCAACGACCCGAACGAGTCGGAGTCGTCCGATGCGCCCAGGCCATGCCACGACATATTCCACTCGGACCCCAGCGACGACAGACCGGATGAACCAGCGCCAGCATCGAGTGCATCATGTTCGAGGAAGGGCGTATGTTTGTCCTCCGAATCCGAAGATGAGGATACGTCTTCGGCGTCAGCGTCCTCGTCCGACAAGTCAGACAGTGCAGCGCCGCGCAGCAACGGCCACAGCGGCGGCATCGATCCCAATGCTGCCGCGCGGTCGCCCCTGGTGGTAATAGCCCTGCCAAGTGTTGCCGCCGTGAGACAGGGTTTGCCACCTGCTGCGGACCAGGCCGACAACGCCGAACCAGACGAAGCAGGGGCTGGTGCTGGAGCGGCACCACGCGCCTATGTCTACGTGCCCGGTCGCCAAGCCCCCGGCGAGAATCCACAGCCGAATATGCAGTCCATACTGGAGCAGATGGCGGACCATTTGAGGGCATGGCGGGGCAACAATTCGGCACACAGCCGCTTCCTGCCACGACGCGATCAGGTGATCTACATGAACCCCCAGGCCATGGCCATAAGAGAGCCAATGCTTGTCATGCACTCTGCTCGACGGCGTTCGCTGGCGCGTGGCAACTTCGACCAGGTGGTCCACCATCCAATGTTCTGGAACATGCTGGATCCACTGGACAGAGACTATGCCCGCCGTTTGCGGCATCGCCAGACATCCAATCCATGCCCACCACCGCAATACTATGTCTCGGATCGGGCCATCTACAGTTTTGGGCGAGCCGCCAGACCCGTGCAGCCGGACGTCGTCTGGATACGGAACATCAACCGCTCGCCCGACAACCGCCTCGAGCGGATCTCACTGCGAAACTATCAACACATAACCAACCACACATTGGAGCATCTGGTGCAATGCTCGCCCTTCCTGGTATTCATCGATGTGAGTGGCACTAGCGTGACGGTCCTCGGGCTGCGTAAATTCAAGGAACAGAAGCCAGAGTGCGAGATAGTGGCAGTGCATTTGGACGTGGATGAGGATGCCAAGCCACCGGAAGGAGAACCAGAGCAGCCGACACCACCAAGCGATACACCGGATGACGCACCCGACGAGGAGCTGACACCACCACCACCATCGCCTCCGCCACCACCACCACCACAGGAATTCGACGATGTGGCATAGACGAATTCCCTCCCACCCACTAGTATACACAGTCCGCTCGCTCGCTCCCATCCAACTGTATTTTGTATTTTGTTGTTCGATTATTCCGTAAAATTGTCTTTGCCCATGGCGGCCCGTCCTGGCTTGAATACTTTTAGTGAGACGACGAAAACATGGCCAAGCCTGAAAAAAAAAAACAACTGCAACTACGGCTGTCTACAAGCAAAAGCTGTAGCTCAAGCCCCTTTAGTATTACGCCCCCCCTATACCCCAGCCCTCCTACATACACACTAAAAACGCTCTTGTACTATACGTCAGGCTCGATAAAATGTATAAACCCTATCATTTAGTTAGGCATTAAAACACGTGAACAATCCTTTGGTATATTGAAATGTTTATTTTGTGGTGTGTCATGTGTGTGTTGTTTAATGTGTGTGTACATATATGTATCATGTGTAATGCTTATTTGGTATCTTCTTTGAAATTGTTGTTGGGGTAAAAGCTTTGAAATATCGTGTTTTTTTTTGGGTATAGGACATGTAAGTGTAATGTTTATGGTGGGTCTCTCTCCTTCAATTGCAAGTCAGAAAAGCGTGAAAATATTGTAAAAACTCTTGTCTCGGAAGAGACTGAAATGTGTATGAATGTGTATGGTATGTGTGTATGAATGTGTATGGTATGTGTATGATTTGTGCTTATTTATCGGCACCATTGGAGGATCCTTCATCCTCCACTTCATCGGCATCCGACTCCTCCGTGTCATCAGTGTCCGTTTCCGAATCGCTAGAGCTCTGGCAGTCGGCAATTTCACCTGTGAAGAATATAACAGCCTTGGGAATGACACGCTCCTTCAGATAGAAGCCCAGCTCAAAATCATTCTGCAATATGGCCTATTAACGCAAAAAAAATATACACAAAGTTAAGCCATGACCACCTGAGCAAAAGAAATACGCATCTTACATTAATGTCACAGTAGTTTGGGTCATCAACATCCTTTGGCAAAGTTGGCGGATTGAAGAATTCGAAGAATGTTTGATCGGAATCTGTTCCATTCGTAGATGGTTCTATCAATTTGAGTTACTAAGAACAATCAGTTGACATTTCTTACCCTTGGTTATGCGATCCTGGGGATGATTCCAGTCAATATTACAGCCCTCAGTCTTGTAGATCTCGGCGCCATCGTACGATAGGGGATCCTCAATGTCTGGCACACAGTTGAGGTAATAGGTCTTCACCAGCACATCATTGGTGAAGAATTCGTTCTTGTCAAAGTGGAATTGCACCTCAAACTTGACCACCGGATCGTTGTAGAGCTTGGTGCGTATGTCGTTTAAATACTGCGGTGGAAAAAAGTACTTAAAAATGGCTGCATATGCAGATTTCAATGGCACTAAACACTGAAAGAAGAACAGCTGTCGAGTACTCATGAGAATTTGCAATGGAGTATTGAATTTCTTAAGACAACACAGACGACCGTTTGGCTTTCTCAGAAATCAATTATTGTATGGAGGCTTATCGCGGTGGCTAAGATTTCAGTCGCGACAGTCAGCGCTTCGTTTGAATCAGAAAGCGAAGCAGGATGTTTATGTTTATGTTTATGTTATTCTTCAAAGCTATGAGAATTCGCGTTCCTATTGCCTCAGCTATCACGTATGTTCTTGGAAGTAATTGAAGAATTTGTAAAATAATATTTCAAGTGGAACAAAGGCAGTAGCTGCTGTACTTTTTTGATAACCTTTGAATTTAGAATTAAATTCCATAAATTAGTAGCTGGCATTGTATATAAATAACCCTGCTGTCGGGGTTATGTCAATGAACTAAATGTCAGTTATACTGTTCCCCAAATGTCAGTCTTACTGTATCTTATATGTCAAATTTAATTTCTAATGAATACTCACACCCAATATCTTCTCATCTTTCTTGCTGATAAACTCCGTGTAGGAGGCCTTCAGCACACGCAACCAAAAGTTTGTCACGTTGTCATTGGGCGTGGAATCGCCATGGTTCTTTTTCTTAAAATCCCTAGGAAAGTCCCCAGAAATTAGATGGGTAACATTGGGGTTGGCTGATTGAGCGACTTACTGCAAGATCTTCTTCCGTTTTTCAAATATCTCATTGTGCTTGGTCTCAAACTTTTTCTCCATGTTGTAGATCTCTCGCTGCAGCTCCACATCCAGTTGGATGGTCTGCAGATAGAGCTGCTTCATCTCAGCGATCGTCATCTTTTCCTCCTCGCTATACTTTTCGTTCTGTGTAGCACAATACCCCATATAGCACAGTAGCATAGTACCCGCCAGATACTTACCATCGATTGGGACTTCTGGGAGGCAATGCATTTGGCCCTAGCCGATTGGGATCGAGGATTACGCACGGCTTCCATAATGGAAATTAATTGATCCTGGTTTCCTAGTACTATTCACTAAATATTTCGCTTTCACTAAAACACTAATTATTTTCCCTTTCAAAAGTTTCAAAATATTATTTTCACTAGCTAAGGTTTCAAAAAAGGTTCACTTTTTATTTTTCGACTATTCTTAAATTTTTTGTTCTAATTTTATTTTAATTTTTACTAGGTTGTGTTGGCTTGCCGACCGACACTAGAATGAGAATGCTGAATATCTGGCTGGAGTACAAAACCAATTCAGAAATGTCAAGGCCCTCTTTGCTTCACCAATTCCACAAAAAGTTTTTCTCTCCTTTCTATGATATTGTGATGCGATTTTGTTTAATCTTTTGTGAGTCACGCTAAAAACTTGTAGATACAGAAGTGAAATTGAGTTTTGATATACGATGCAGGGGTCCGATCCACGACGACATTAGAAAGTCATTGAATATTTCTTTTCTCTGAAAAGAATTCAAAGGAAATACTTACTCTTGTTCTTAACATGCGAAGAAATGCCCAATATATTGCCTATCTTTAAAAATCGCAATGTCTTGGAATTCCCAACTGGTTCTGGCGCCCAGGAAGTGTTGAGGCATCGTATTCGGGGTGTTAAATTACTCTGGTTTCTCTTCAATTGTCGAATAAATCTTTCGCCTTTTACTAAAGATTTCCGTGGAGAGGGACACTCTAATGAGTCTAAAATAAATTTTTTGCAGTGCCTGGCGATATTTGTTGCCGGGCCATAACAAATACATGAGAAAATATAACCAAGAATAGGGTTAATTAAGGGTATTTATTATAGGTATTTTGATTGGTGGATGATCAAGGATGTCGCCTTTTCTCTTATAAACAGGAAGAAGATCACATTTTCTTTCAATTCCTGGAGCAGCCAGTAAATTAAAGAATTTTCGTTGATGGCTTTAAGCTAACCCTTTCGTTGTTGGTTGGTGTCATTAAAATGCAGGCCATGTTTATTGGCAATTTAACGCACATTTAATTTTTGGTGCTGTTACTGTTCCTGTTTCTATTTTTGGTTTTTCTTTATATTCTTCTTCGAACTTTTCATTTGGTATGTAATTAAGTGTGGCTTGGAGGGGGGTCGGAAAATGATGGTGCAGGACCTGGCACAGCTGCTTAAGTGTATGCAAATCACGTGCTGAGTGCTGCCAAGGGTTCGGAGTCTGTTTAATGGGCCGGACTTAGCTTTCAGTTCTCTGTGTATTGTCGTTTGACGCCCCATCGGACATTTCAGTGGACTCCAGCCTAGCCATGATAATGTGGAACAGGGCTTAGTGCCATATGTCAGGGTACAAAACTACATAGAAATGAAAGCACAAAAAAATAAGTACATTTTTGTCGCTTAGGCAAACATTTCAAAATGAAATTATGAGTTGGAGTGGCGGTGTGGAGGGGAGGATGTGGGAGGAAGTGCAAACAAATTTAGCCAAGCGGAAGTCCAGACCCACACAACCACACACACACAACGGGGAATCCCCCACAGAGGGAGCGAAAGGGAGATCGCATTGTTGAATGTTTGCACACAAATACACATGAAAAAGTCCATGTACTCGTGTACTCGTACTCGTGTACTATGGGGTACGCATGTCCAGCTAGAGAATCCGCTGGACTGCCCCATACACCATACCCCATGCCACTTGTAGTCGTCCACCATTCCGCGTTGTCCTCATATTTGATATTATTAAATTTTTTCCCCTAAATACCTCTGGGAAATTAAAAAGAAATCATAAGGCAAATACGAGTATCAGCAGTGGAGCAACAACAGATGATGACTCTCTCTCTCTCTCTCTCTGGTCCTGTGCCCAGATTTATGCTGCCTCTTTAAGTGCTGCAACTCCGAAGTTAAGCTGTTTCTGGCATTTTCAATTTACATTTCGGTCATTCAATTATAAGGTGCATCAGAATTTAGCTACATAAGTAATATGGAAGCCGGTCATCATCATCATCATCAGCATCACCATCAGCATCAGCATTCAGGGGCATCATTGCCATCATCCACATCGTCAGTGCCAGCAGCGTCAACATAGTTTGAATTTAATTAAAACCAAAATTAGTAAAACCCTGAACGGGCCAGGGCAGGCCAGGCCAGGCCAGCGCCAGACCAGGACCGAGGCGGAGGCGGGACCAGACCAGACCCTGAACCCACACTTAAAACCCAAACCGAGAGTCAGAGCAACAGTTACTTGGCGCTGGGATTAGAGATGCTCCTGCTCCTGCAGCTGCCTCCAGTTTCTGCCAAAAGTGCATGTCTGCAGAAAATCGAATCAGCAGCTCAACGTCCGCATCCGCATCCACCCATCACCCACCTCTCAGCTACCCCCCACCGTCTTCTATCCCATCCTACGTTCAGGTGGAAAGCCCCAACCTTCATGCCAAAAATATCTACAACAAAAGCATAAGATGTAGTGCAGCATTTGATGATGAAACGACGTGTTAATTAAGGTCATAATAATTCAACTTAAATTGAAAACTTGCCCGGCTTTCGGGCCACCCCCCAACTCCCACTCGCACAGTCTTTTGGGGGGGCGGCCTGTGGCATGGGAGCCATCCTCAGCTTGCAGGCTAAGCTGATTGCAACAAATTATTTTGCACCTTGGTTGAACTTTCCTTGAGCTGCAGACAGCATGGCGTTGATAAACGAATTTTGTTAGTTTGCTTTTGCTTATTTTAAATGGAACTGGGGGGCGGTGCAAGGCGATGAATGCCAGAGCAGGAAGATTGCTGTGCAGCAAGAGGCAGGTGCGGTCCGAGCCTGAGTCTAGGTCTGAGGGCCAGGGTCCCGGGTCTCGTCGGTCCAGGACAGGGGCCAATGTTGCCTTTGGTTTTGCATAAACCAGACAACGCATCTAATAAGTTGCAGCTGTTGGGTTGCGCTGCCGCTCTGCTGCCGCCCCCCCCGCATAAGAACTTTAAAGTTTGCCGCCTAATGCCTCAAAGTGCGGAATTGTGTTTGCCATTAAATGTTATTAGTTAAGGGATAATTAACAGTTAGAAAACTGTGCAAAATATCCTCCTGCCGCGCCACCTTTCACGAGCAGCGCATTTGCATATCGCACCTAATTGGCTTAGACGGTCATTGCTTTTCGGGCATAAGAAGTACAGTCCCATCAGGCGGTAGTGCAGTGTCGATCCGGTGGAATCCCCAGGCAGGCAGGCGTCGCAGCATTCATGCTGCGTGGATGCTGCCGCTCATAATTAACATCCACACACCTGCAGTTTGTCTAATTCGAATGCTATTCATAAGCCACACACACACATCGCAGATACACACAGACACGCACTCGCATGGGCATGTACACATAAAAGAGATCCTTGCCAGCCGCAGGATAGTTTGGCAAATGCTTTGCTCCGTCTCACCCTCAATCTCACGCTTCCTATCTACTGCCCCTCCCCCACCACCACACCCACCTCTGGCTGAAAACTTTTTACTAATTTACATTCATTACACACATTTGCAATAAAACTAGAAACACTCACTCACACATACGTACGTACAGACACATACATATATATATGAGAATAGATTTACACTGAGAGAACTGTTGGGAAAATGAAGAAAAGATGAGCCGAGAAAATTCAGCAAAGAAAGGTTTTATGGCAATAGGCTTACTATCAGGACTGATACAAAGGTTAACTCAAAAATATTGGATGAAAAAAGAGCTAAGAGCTATCATCTATCATTGTTGAATTCCGATTTGACAAGTCTTCACATTAATCTCGTAATTAAATTTGTATTTCTATCAATTTCATTATAATATTTGCCAAATTCTCGAATTTAATATCTATATATCCAAATTGTTCTCCCAGCAGTGGATGAGTGTATGCACAAGCAACAGCTACACACATTGATATTCTACATGCTTCATTAGCGTGTAAGCGCGGTAATAATGAAATTTCCTTATGGCTGCATTTCTAGCTGGGTGGTTGTGTGGGCGTGGGAGTTGGGAGGGGCAACTGCTGCTGCATATTGATGCAAAGTTTTAGTGGCGCAAAACTTGGGGCAATGTTCGCAACACTCCCCCAAATGTCTCTAGCCGCAATTTATGTTGCTTCTGGCATTCAAGAAACTGTTTAAAGCCCTGCGTTGAAGGTGCAACATCTGAGGGCTGCCGCTGCTGCTGAGGCTCTGCCTGCCTGCCTGTCTGCCTTTCTGCTGATTGCCCCCGAAAAAAGACACACACAGACAATCGAAATTGTTCATCATTTCGACAATCAAATCAGCAAAAGAAGACAAACACAAGACAAACATAAAGCAAATCTATACAAATTTGTCAGAAGTCAGTCAAAAAAAAAAATGAGCAGCGGAAATGATGGCAGAGCGCTGGCGGAAACGAGGAGCCAGCAACCAGGCGTGTGGGGGGCAGGAGTATCAGAAGAGGGCGGTTACTACTGCTGCACAGCTGATGCCCTGCCACATGACCTCCTCCATCCTACATCTGACATTTGCCTGCCTGCCTGCCAGCCTGCCTGCTGTGCGACGGGAAGAAATTAAAATTGCATTACGGGGCAGAGCAAGAGCAAGAGCCTCAGGACGGAGCTGCTGATGCTGCTGCTGCTGGTTTTCGTATCGGATTGGATAGGGTTTACTTTGCTCATGTGTTTGGCTGGCTGTTCCATAAATATTTCAATATTTGTGCACATTTGAAGCTGCTTAGGCCACGCCCGAACTGCTAAGCTGAAGGCAGCAGCAGCAGCGGCAGCGGCTGTGGGTGTGGGGTGGGGTGGGTTTTTGAGTGGGCGCCGGTTCAAGCAGGAAATAGTTTAATTAAAATTCCTTTGGCAATGCCATTAAGGACATTACATTTTGTAGCTGCTCGTGCTGCTCCAGCTCCTGTTTCTCCACAAGGTGTGTATTATGGAGAGGCCTGCAAGGACGAGTGAACATTTCAATAAGGAAAGGACAGCAGCAGCCCACCCAAGGCCCCAACGGAATTTCATTGTTTTCGCATGCAAATTTGCATCGGCAAAGCTGGCGAAAAGTCACAAAACAAAAGCTTAATAGAGAGATCCTTTAAAGGGCCATAACAGCATGTAAATGCCCGTCAACACGCCCCATCGATAGTATTTGCAAAAGAAGCGTCCGCCCCCACTCTTCATCCACCGCCACCTCCGCCTCATTCCGGTCACTCCTCGCATAACGATGATGAAAGGCGAAACTGAAAAACAAGAGCATAAAACCTAAATGCAAATATCCAAAGGTTCGCAGCACCAAAAAATGTATACACAATGCATATAAAAAAAGAAACGAATAAAAAAGCAGGGAGGAAAATAAGGGAAAACAAGAACAAAGACCAAAAAGAAAATGGTCGGGGAAAACAACAAGATTAAAATGAAAACAATCATGACAATCAGAGGACCGCAAATGTCAAATTAAATTATCAATAAATTGTCACGACGGAGCGGAGTGTTCCATGCCGGACGCAAAATCGTTGGCCTTGCGCCTGCCACCGCCAGGACAGAACAGAACAGAACATCCATCCTTTCCCATTCCATTCCATTCCATTCCAGTCCATCCACCACCCCCAAGCATCGAAGAGGGAGCGTTTTGTGGCACATAATGAAATCATTTACAAAATGAAAACAACAGAAGTGGCAGCAGCAGCAGCAGCGTCAGCATCAGCATCGGCCATTGGGAGATGGACAGCCACAGAGCGGAGACTGTTTAGAATGCTTTAGCCTGTGGGTGTACTGTCCACTTTCTCCCTTGGTGCTGGTTCCAATCACTTTCTCCCCTGATCCATGTTTTGTCCACTCGCCGCTGAAGCGAAAAGCAGAAAACTTTGCACGCCATTGAGTTGACGGGGCTCTGCGGCTCTCTGGTCGAAAGGAAAGGCACACTTGCAAATCATAAAACAACAGACGCGAAGAAAATGTTTTTTAAATCTTCATAAATATTCATTGTGAGGACTGGACGGGAGTTGGAGCTGGCGATGGGGCAGGGCAAATAGTTTGGGGCAGCCTGTAAATGTCCGTGCAGGGCCATTGGACACCGGCCAGCCAGAAGGAGCTGGAGATGGGGCAGAGAGCAGGAGGACACTTGGAAAAAATAAGATGCATTTTTTCACAGGATATTGGAGCAAGGAAATATTGAAGCAAAATAAATAACAAATTATATTAAAGCTAAGTAATTACAACAAAAAAATGATAACAAATTTGAAAATAAATTTTTTCTCGGTGTAGGAGCACCAGGAGAAGCATGGGTCCATCAGCGGTGGCATTACCAGTAGCAGGGCCCACTCGGACGGAGCGGTAAGCTTCATTTTGCAGATGGCAGTACATGAAGTTTGCCAGAAAACTGAAAAAAAAAACAACAAAAGAGATGAAAAAATACCAAAAAACAAAAACAGAAACAGCAAAAATAACAATAAAGTTGCTTGAGGAGAGAGCATAAGTAAACGGGGAAAAGACTGGCAAAAAAGAAAAACATTTTCAGGGATATGTATGACGGCCTTGAAGCGTGAAGATGAGCCGCGCCGAGCCAGACGACAACGACAGTTCATGTCCATGGCCGGAGTGGTCAATGGAACCGGGAACACCAGTAATTGGGAGAGGGAGCGGCAAAAGTGGAAAGGAAAGCAAACAACTATAAATAACAGGACACCAGGAGCACCAAACAAAAAGAGCAGGAGTAGATGGAGTAACAATGGATCCCGCGGAACCACAAAGCTGTCAATTAGCAGATTTCCTTTCTTAATTTAAGGATTTTCACAATGGATACTCCATTCTACGCGAGTTTATGACATGTGTGTGTGGAAGCCTCTCATGCTGGAAAGAAATGCCCAAAGAACAATGGAAATGCCAATAGGAGTTGGCAGCACAGTCTTATGGCATCGAATCAAGTCAAAGTAATAGTTTTCCAAAGTGAAATTGTGCAGTTTAATTGAAGTCTTTTTAAAGTAGACTTGTACTCGATTCAGTCGTGTGTTTGAAATTCCAGCAAATATTTCTAGGATATTATTAGATTATACTTATAGTTGGGCAATGCAATGTTGAATGGTTCAATGGTTTATATATTTATTATGAGCCCGATAAAAAAAGAGAGAATTTCCCCACAAACTTCCATTGCGCTCTTTTGGGCATGTAAGTAAATTTAAGGGAAATTTGTGGCGCGCTTTCAAATTATTTCAAGAAGCGGTTAAATTCAAATGAACTGCAAGAAAATGAGGTACAAATTTTCATTTCAAATCTATTTTTCATTGTTTAGGCCACCCATGGCTTGCAAAATATCAAAATACAAATATCAAATCAGTTTATTTCGATAAGCTTAATTCTTATTTATTTTTCACAACATTTTCCTTGAATAAGTTTATACTACAACATTTTTTCTCAAGTGCCAATTGATTATCATTATTTTCCCTTTATAACTTATTAGATATTTTATGGTTTTGTTGTTTATGTCAATTAATAAAAAAAATAGTGATAATTTAATGTATTCGCTTCTTAACAGACTGTAAGACTGTAAGAATCTTAACATATCCCACAGGGAAATTCTAACATCATTTTCTCGGGAAAATTCTCTCTTTTGTTAAGGTACATTTTCTCTTTGTGTGGCTTTTCTTTTCGTTTTTGTTTTGCACCAACAAAAAGAGCAGCAACAACAGCAACAGCACCAACAACAGTGGGTGAAGAGGAGGCTGTAATACCAATTACATTGGGCTAGTCGCGTAGGTCCTTCGTGTGCTCAAAGGACTATATCCATTGCTCCCATCAGAGGGTGGGAGTGGGCTTGTGGGTGGTGGGTTCGTGTGAGCCCCTTCGTCCTAACTGTTGAATCAACGAGTGGTTGCCGAAGCCCACCCTCGTGTTGTCATTCGTGCAACGCGACGAGGCAGCCTTCATCATGCAACCTTCAGTCTTCGTCCGAACGCGTAAACTAACGGTTGTTGTGTTTCTTGCCACATGCCATACCAGCCACACTCTCTAGAGGCCGCCCCGCATACAAAGTGTTGAACGGAATTTTTGGGAAAAAAAATATACAGATAATAAAATTTGAGTGCATTTACAGGATAACTCTCCAGCGAGATATATCTCGCCGATAAACTGTAAAATTGTGTGTGTTTGTTGTGTGCGAAAATCGAAGGGATTTACGGATATTTTTCATAAACAAAATCGGGCTTCGTTGATTCTGCTTGTGATTCGATTTTGGGTCTCTCGCGACGCTCGGGCAACCGACACCCATTCCATGCCGCTATTATCACCGTCTCCGGGCTCCACTCTCGTACTCTCTCTCTGTGCAAATTGTGCCACATAGAATATCGCGAAATTGAACACACCGCTGGTCACGCATCTAGCAGCCGCTCCACATTAAAAACAGCAAAACAGCAGACCAAGATTTTCTAATTAAATTAAGAGAGTGAAAAATACCAGCACGCAAGAACAGCACCACCGTTCTGCTATCCCCATCCCCGGCTCTTAATGCAAACAATCAGCACAGAAATTAAATATTTAAATATTTGTTTATGGGGAAATTGTGCGGCATTTTAAATTAGGACGCTCAAACGGAACCTCCAGTACCAGTGTGCCAGTGCCAGTGTTTGTATCTGTGTGTGCCCCGTGCCACAGTGCCGCAGTGTCAGTGTGTATGTGTGTGCGTGTCGCAGCAGGAAAAGCCATAAATAAAGCTAAGCACACATAAACAAATAAAAACACACGCAGAAACGCATACGCATAGAGAGTGTTGGGTCAAAGACCGACCGTAGGAACAAAAAACAAAAAAACAAAAACAACTAGACGGGATTACTGTAAGAGGTAAGTCGTGTCACCTGTTGAAAGGGGATTTCCTCAACACAATCATCTTATTCATATTCAAATCTATTATAATATTTATTAGAGTAGGAAAATATCCATAAAGTATATTAAAATACGGAGAAGATTTTTGAATAGTGAGGAATAAATAGCAGGAGCCGTTGGCAGATCTGTTGCTATTGTTATGATTTAATCTTCTTTGGAGTATCTGAATCTGAAACATTTATCATTTGTTTGGATTATCTGTAGACACATACAAATTAGTATCATTTGTCGCCAATTCTTTCCTTTAGAAATGTTTTATTTTTTATTAGGGTTATAAAATTTACTTGTTCTACGATATCCATAATTCATATATATTTAAAATATCAATTATAAAATTTTCAATTTAATTTTCATCGAAAAACCATATCATATGACTATATGAATAGGTTATGTTTTTTCCAAACCAAACTCTGTATATATTATTTTGTTGGCAAATTGATGACTTTAATGCATGAAATATGATCTAAAGGAGGTATTTATTTTACATACATATGAATATGAAGATGATTTTGCGCTTGTGTTTTTATTATTTGTATTTTTTTGTCCTCTCCACATAAAAGGCAATCATCGCGGTATAGAGCCGTATTCCGCAATTTAATTGCAGTCATTGTATTTTTATTTTGTTGCACGGGGACGAGAGTACTTGCTGCATTTTTAATGGCCGAGCTGCAATCATTCAGCTGCATAATTAATATAAAATAAAGCCATGCGATTTTCGCAATCAAATCACTTCGAATTGCGCACTTTTTTCTCCCTCTCCCTCTCATACTGTCTGTGCTTTTTTTTGTTTGTATTTTTTAGCAATTAATTAAAAATATGTATGAATGATGTGTTTTTCGCACATCACTTGCTTGACATGCTCTACTCCCACCATGTCCCATGTCCTTTAATTCCCTTTCCCACAAACTGTCATTCTGTGTAAAATTTAAGTTTATATAGAAAACAATTATGCGGCAAACACCCAGAGAGAGATTGCACATTGCATAAATCCGATACCAAATGAAACACTTGAAACTGTGACAATCCACAGCTCGTTTGCTCGTATAATATGCCATTTCAGATTAACCAATTGATATCTCCATAAATTATGGATGGATACGAAAACGGCTGGGCTATACACATTTATGTGGTGGAAAATCTATTCTGATTGAATTCGAAATGGACATTATTTCATTAAAAATAATTTGTTGAATGAGGATTTTCATCAAAGTTAATTCTTATATAGGAATATTTTATTGAGCGCTGTGTTACGATTATGATTTATGCGCCTAGATGATGGTTTTATGCTGTTCTGAATGGGATTATATTCTTATCTATATATTTATATAATTTTGTTCAATTAAGAATATGCCACAAGCAATGTGTCAAGTTGAACGAAATTTATTTTATGGATGGAAGCTCTTTATCCTTTAAGTCGATTTAAAAGTGATTAAAAAATAATTTTAAAAGTTTTTGCAGGCTTTGTAATATTATTGATAAATATTCCTTAAAGATTATTATTATGCAAAAACTTTTTTAAGCGAAAAAATTGTTACTTTAAAGCTATCCCATTAAGTCAAATGTAATATGTTTTTAAACCAAATAAAATATGAATTTTAACTTAATTCAAAAAAGGTAGAAAAATGATTTAAAAAGAATTACCATAAGAAATGTTTTAATGTGGAACTGAGTTTCGAAGATGATCAAATAAGGGTTTGTAGCATCAAAGAAATGTAAATCCAGTTGGAAATTCCCCTCAATTTAAACCCAATTTCACAATCAATACAGAATCGGTCCCACATTTCCCCCAAAATGGTCACACGCTCATTGAAAATGGGGGTTAAACGGCAGGCTGAATGAACGTGAACATATACGAACATGAATCTTATATACGAGAGTGTTCACGTATCTCTACATTCGCATACAGAAAACTTTTATTTAACGAGAACTTTAATTTCCGCTTAAATACTGCGGCCAGCAGTTGGGGCTTAAAAATGAAAGACATATCAATAAATAAGTATGTCCAGTATGGCCCGTGGGGGCTTGCATCAACACACAGACACACAGATACGAACGTATGCACAAACCGTCCGCCATGCACCACACACACAACACCATCCATCGACACACCCATCCATCCGCACATACAATAAATAAGCCAACGCACATAATGGTTAAATAATTAAAGACGCACGAAAGCCACAGCAATCAGATGTATCAGATGCTATAATAGTTAAAGTCATTTATATTTATTGAGCCTGCATTCGTAGGCGGACAACGCTTAATGGTTGACCAGATCTCCAGTGCATACATCCAGTATCCTTTGGGGCAATGTGTCCTCTGTCCATTTTGGACCCAAACCATTACCCATCCAAAAGCTCAATTCAATATACGTAATGTTTGGGTAGGCCAGTCTATTAACTTTCAATTGCAATTCGAATATTCCTCCTCCACATTCCCCAAACTCAACATCTCAAAACGCATTTCTCATGCATCGAAGGGCGTGCAGGCGTGGGCGTGTCCTATTGTGGTAATTGTTTTAAAGCATTCATACATAAATTTGGCTAATTAAACATGACCACACACGCACACGCACATAACCCGTTCCGGAATCGTAATACGAAAATATTCCATAATAATGGTATAATGTAAATAGTAGTTCTCATGGCAGGGCGGTGCGGGAGACCCAGAAACAGACCCACTAACAAGCCACACAAAACACACACATCGAGAGACGGAGCCAGCGCCAGGACCAGGACCAGGACAATGTCCAGGTCCCTATTGTGCCCACATATGTGTTTGCCTATTGGCATCGACAGAACGAGTAATAACAGACTGAAACATAATTCATAATAACAATAAAATGAGAGAGAGAGGGACTCTGCACCATGGAGCCATGGAGCCAACTGCAATTGGCTTTAATTCAATTTTGTGTGCATCGATCCTGGGTTATTACCTGCTGCTGCCATACAATTTCTGGTGCTTATTCGTTTGTAGTTTCCTTTGACTGTTCAGAAAATTGATAAATGACAAATCTAACAGGGCCATCCACTCGGATTGCTAAACTCGCCACTCTCCATGATATCCATAATTAATTAGCATGTACCTACATTTAATTACAGTCTTCATTTGTAAAGAGATTAATGGAGGCACTAACCTTGGGTCAGGGGTTGGAATATTCATGTAATTTGTAAAGAATTAAGTGTAATCCCTCTCTTAGAGGGAAAGCAAAAGAGACAGACATTTCATCTCTTGCTCTCTCATATCAATTAATTTCAGAATTACTGCTTAAAAGGGATATCATCTAAAAATTACCAAGAAAACTGTTGACATTTCGTTACTTTTGCTATTTTTGGATTTCTTCAAATGGTTTGCTCTGGGGCAAATATTCCCTTCCACAAATATCATACAGATGTTCATTTACCATTGTTTCAACATATTTTTCTTTGATATACTCGTTCATCTTGCAAGGACTTCCCATTCTTCAGCCAGTTTTCCTTCTGTTGACCTTACCCAGTTCACAGTTCATTTTCCTTTCCAACAATCACACGCCATCCAAGGTTCATAGTTTTCCCCTCCATTGTGTTTGCTCAATTTTCTCCTCTGTTTCACATTTTCAACTATTGACTAATTAAAAAAAAAACGAGCAGAAGGAGAAGAATGGAATCTAGATGGCATAATAAGCAACTGCTTCTGTTTTCTGTTTCAATTTCTACTACTGTTGCTTTTTCCTGATGTAAAAAAAAATTCCTTGCCAAATGGCAAAAGCAAAATAAACCCAGGGAATGTCCGCAACGCGTTGTATACGTTATATATATATATAGAGAGAGGAGAGCCCTAGTAGATTTTCTCGTATTTTTCCAAATGACCCAATAAATTTGAGCTCATTATGACGCCGAACCACGCTCTTCGCGCTCCTCCTTTGTTTGCGGCCAGCAGAAATACCAAAAAAAAAACATAAAATAAAATAAAAATGAAAGAACGAACAGAATTGGTACAAGAACCAAGTAAGTAAAATAAATGTGGCAGCAATCGTAGGGCGAGAGTGAAAATAAAAATGAGCCACAAGCAGGCAGGCGCATCGTGAAGGTAGCGTGGTGGCACGGCGGCATGGAAGGTAATTGCTATAAGCGGGGCCGCAGTCCGAGGGCATTCAGAGTTTCTCCCGGCGCATAATGAGCGTGAAAATAGTGAAAATATGAAAACCTCTTCGGAATCCTGACTGGGTCCGAGCAATCTTTGATTTCCTAATGGCTAATTCTGCTGGCAGTGCTGAAAATTATGCCATGCTTGGCTTGTTTTATGTTCATTAATAGGTGGACTATTTGAGGAGCGGTTAAGGGAATAAGCAACAGAACTTTCATTTAAAAGTGCTCTTCGACAGCATATGAAGAACTAAATTTAAAAATATATATAAAACGAGACCCATTTGTTGAGTTTTTAAATGGAAGCTCCCTTATATTGATCTCACATTAAAGCCAAAAGCACAAACAATGATTGAGAGATTTGATTGCATATTTACAAATGTATTTCCGTATGTACAATGAAGGGATTGAAGGATTGACACCTTAGAAAATCATGGAGTGAGTGAAGTACCCTTCCAGTGAGATTAAATCTGTGAAACTAGAAACAACTTCTGCATGTCAGGAATGCTGGCCGTCATATATCGGAACTCATTGCAGCTTCATTTTGCAGTACAGTACTGTGAGTATTTCTGCTGCTCGGGCTTCAAATTATGCTGCAATTTGGGTTAGCCAGCCTGCGTCTGACCGAAATCCATGCTTAGGCGCTTTATTACGGCTAATTAGGAGGCTCCGGGTGTGGGAGCGGAAGCCGTAGCTGGCATTTCATTCCCGGATAGCTAATGCCGCTCGTAGCCACACACGGACGGACACTCGGACACACACTCGCTGGCACAAATTTAGGCCCACATGCGTCGTCTGTTTAGTCATTCGAGTGTGCACATTTGAATAATTAAT